AAAGGCAGACTTTACAAAGGAGAGGGGAAGAGGGAGTTGGAGAGGGAGGAAAGGAGAGTGGGAGAGAAAGAGATCTTCCACCAGTGATTTACTTCTCAGATGGTTGCAATATCCAGCACTAGCCAAAGCCCATAACTCCATCCGGGTTTTCCATGTGCGTGTCAATTCCCAAGTACATTGTCAGGGATCTGGACCCAGAGCAGAGCATTCTGGAACTGTTGCTTCAGCATGGGGCACTGATGCTGCAGGTGTTGGCTTAATGTCCTGTAGTAGACACACAGTGATTTACGTATTTTAGGGTATAATGTGATAATTTGACATAATTTTATTAAATCTGCATCATTACCACTTCTTTGTTGGGTAACTTTAAACTCCACTTTTCTAGTTATTTTGAAATAATGCAATTGTTCTAAACCATAGTCACCCTACATGCTAGAGAACACTAGAACTTATTCTTAATGTCTTATAAGATTCGATACCTATTATTTAGCCTCCCACGGTCTCTTCTGCCTTCCTAACTTCTTGTGAACATTATTCTCTACTAATACAGCATCTACTAATCCAGCTGTTTTAGCTTTCACAAGTAAGTGAGAATACACACTTGTCTTTGTGGATAGCATCATGTCCTTCAGTCTCATCCATGTTTCCATAGATGATAGGATTTTATTGTTTTTTTATGGCTGATGATTCTCAGTTCCCGTGCCTGTCCATAGAGAGTAGTGCTGCAGTCAAGATGGGAGTAAAGATAATTCTTTGGCAAAGTAATTTCATTTCTTTAAATACATTTGTTACCTAGTAGGATTGCTGCATCATCTGATAGTTGTCTTTTTAGTTTTTTGAGACAGTGTCTACACTGTTTCTCATAATGGTTATGTTGATTTACATTCCACCAACAGCATGCAAGAATTCCCCTTTCTCGGTATCTTTGTCAACATGTTTTTTCTTTTCTTTTCTTTTTTTTTTTTTGAAGGGCAGATTTAGAGAGAGAAAGAAAAAGAGATCTTACATCTGCTAGTTCACTCCCCAGATGGCCACAATGGCTGGAGCTGATAGGGTCCCGAGCCAGGAGTCACGAGCCTTGAGCCATTTCCGGGTTTCCAACAGGGTTGCAGGGGCTCGAGGACTACAGCCATCCTTTGCTGCTTTCACAAGTGGAGCAGCTGGGACAAGAATCAGTGCCCATATTAGATGCTGGTGCTTGCAGGTTGAAAATTAGACTGTTGGGCCCGGCACGGTGGCGCAAGTGGTTAAAGGTCCTCACCTTGCATGCCCGGGATCCCATATGGGCGCCGGTTCTAATCCCGGCAGCCCCGCTTCCCTTCCAGCTCCCTGCCTGTGGCCTGGGAAGGCAGTCGAGGACAGCGCAAAGCTTTGGGACCCTGCACCCACGTGGGAGACCCGGAAGAGCCTCCTGGCTTCAGATCGGCATAGTATCGGCCCGTTGCGCTCACTTGGGGAGTGAATCATCGGCCGGAAGATCTTCCTCTCTGTCTCTCCTCTCTGTATATCCGCCTTTCCAATTAAAAAATAATAAAAATAAATCTTAAAAAAAAAAAAAAAAAAAATTAGACTGTTAAACCACCTTGCTGGGTTGCCAACTTTTGTCATTTTTGGCAGTAACTGCTTTAACTGGCATGAGATCTCATTATTGTTTTGATTTTTGATGATTAGTAATCCATATTGAACTTTTTTCATATGATTATTGGACATTCATGTATCTTCTTTTTGAGACATATGTATTTATATTATTTGGGCCTTCTATATCAGATTACGATTGTTAGTAGTATTACTATTGAGTTTAATTTCTTGTATGTTTTGGATATTAATCCCTAGTCCTGTGAAATTTTGCAGTGTTTTTTCCCTGTCTTTTCAGGGTCTCTTTTGGACCTGTTGATTCTTTCCTTTGCTGTCAATAGTTTCTTAGTTTGATGCAACCTTATTTGTGTTTGATTGCTTTGGCTGTCGTGTGCTCTTGTGATCTCAAATATCTTGTGCGCCCAGCTGTGTAGCTTAGCGGCTAAAGTCCTCGCCTTGAACGCTCTGGGATCCTATATGGGCGCCGGTTCTAATCCCGGCAGCTCCACTTCCCTTCCAGCTCTCTGCATGTGGCCTGGGAAAGCAGTTGAGGATGGCCCAAGACCTTGGGCTCCTGCACCCATGTGGGAGACCTGGAGGAGGTTCCTGGTTCCCAGCTTTGGATCGGCACAGTACCGGCTGTAGTGGCTCACTTGGGGAGTGAATCATCGGATGAAAGATCTTCCTCTTTGTCTCTTCTCCTCTGTATATCCGACTTTGTAATAATAATAAAAAAAAATCTTGCCCAGACCAGTGTCTTGCAGTGTTTCCTCTATGTTTTCTTCTAGTTGTTTTGTAGTTTCATGTCTCACATTGCAGTCTGTGATCTGTTGTGAGTTAATTTTGTATATGGTAAAAGATAGGGGTCTAAATTAATTCTTTTACATGTGAATGTACAGTTTTCCCAGCACTATTTGTTTCTATAATGTATGTTCGTGGCACCTTTGTCAAAAATCTATTGCCTTGAAGTATATGGCTTCATTTCTAGGTTCTCAAATATGTTCACATGTTTGTGTGTTTGTTTTTGTGACATATTTATTTTATTGTTCCTTGTCTCCATTTTCTTGACCTTGCTAAAAAACATAGATTTATTTCGGTTGAATACATCTATTTACCATCTAGAAATTTACCATCTATAATCCTCTCCCATAGGCAGTTTATTCTAATTGAAATAATTGGCCTTCCTACATACAGAAAAATATATCTGACTAATCCTAGGAATCAGGGATTCTTTAGCTTGAACTTTCCACACCCCTGCCTTTTTTGAAGGCCAGCTTCTAATTGTTTCACTGTGTAGCATTTGTTCTATTGGAACAGTGCAATTATAAATTTTTATTTTCTGCTTACATTTAAGAAAACTACAAAACAGCAGCATTTTATTCTAAGTAGTGGGCCATCTGAATTTTCCAGATTGAGAAAATAAAATGTGCAGAGAGAACAAGAGGAAATAACTGCTTTCATTTTGGCTTCTAAAGTATATTATAATGGTCCGGCTCCTTTTCTCTCAACCTTGGGGGAAAAAACCTATCTGTTAAATCTTAATTGGAAGATAGTGTGCTGTGTATTGCTGCATTTGCTTTGTGTAAGTAATTCACTTTTAAGGTCGTTTTTATATTGTGCACTTGGCATCTGTTGTCAGTATACTGCCCTAGAGCCCACTGGTGTTCTACATCTCTCTCTCTTTCTCTCTCTCTCTTTTAACTGTGTAACATTTTAGAAGCAAAGTAATTTTCAGATATTTGAGAGGCTGAGTTTGCTATGGCAAGCAGTTACCAGAATGACTAACATAATTGTTCTTATTTCTCATATCCTCAAAATGGTACTCCTGCCCCCTCTCCCACCCCCGTGTTCCCCAGGATGTGCTGAATTTTATTTCTACCCTGGAAAATGCTGAGGGAAAGAGAAACTAAATATGTAGAGAAGAGGAAAAAAAAAAACCTTATCTCAATGATCTCCAAACTTTTTTCCTTCAAATTTAAGTTTCTTAAAGTACGTTGTACTAAAAAATATATAAATAGCTTTTTGAAGCTTTTCAAAATATTAAAGCATGTTTTTATTTAGTGTTGTGATTAAATAAGTAGAAAGTCACTGATTTTCTCAGAGGCTAGAGACTACTCTGTTGGGCCCCAGTGCAATGGCCTAGTGGTTAAGTCCTTGCTTTGCATCTGCTGGGATCCCACTTGGGCGCTGATTCTAATCCCAGCTGCTCCACTTTCCATCTAACTGTTGTGGTTTGGGAAAGCAGTAAAGGATTACTAAAGGCCCCTGGCTCCTGCCTTCAGATCTGCTCAGCTCCAGTCATTGTGACCATTTGGGGAGTGAACCAGTGGATGGAGGAAGCTCTTTCTCTCTGTAAATCTGATTTTCCAATAAAAAGAAAAACCTTTACTCTGTTAAGTGTATAGTTTTGTAGTTAATTTATTTTGAGCCTGCTGCATTCCAGGCACTGTCAATTACTATACATGTATAGCTTTGTACAATTTATTTTTGATGGATACTAATAACACAATTCATTTATTTAATTTCACTTTATCTGAAAAGTGAGAGACAGAGAAATCTTTTTTTTTTAAAGATTTATTTTTATTATTTTTTCATTGGAAAGGCGGATATACAGAGAGGAGAGACAGAGAGGAAGATCTTCCGTCCGATGATTCACTCCCCAAGTGAGCGCAACGGGCTGATACTATGCCGATCCGAAGCCAGGAGCCTCTTCCAGGTCTCCCACGCGGGTGCAGGGTCCCAAAGCTTTGGGCCGTCCTGGACTGCTTTCCCAGGCCACAGGCAGGGAGCTGGAAGGGACGCGGGGCTGCTGGGATAGAACCGGCGCCCATATGGGATCCCGGGCGTGCAAGGCGAGGACCTTTAACCACTTGCGCCACCGCGCCGGGCCCAAGACAGAGAAATCTTAGGCAATAAGCTGGCAGTGGGGGGATGTTCTTGGGACTCATTTTAGTTCATTGTCCTCTCAGAAATCCCTGTCCTTCCCTACCTGATGTACACATGGAAAGGACAACTTTCTTGACATTTACAGCGGAAGAGTGAGTCTGTCAAGGCTGGAGGCAGAAGACCCTACCACTTTTGGTTACGATTTGCTCCCACATAAGTGGTTCTTGTTTCATAGGAGTCCTGATTGGCTGATTACTCACGGTCTTGCAGTCAATGACTCTGAGACTTGGGCCTCTGTATGGATTCACCAGGCATAAAATTCCGTGTACGCACAGATTAGCCCCTCTGAAGTGGCTGCAAGAGCAGTAGCAGGATGTAGTCATTGCTGTTCATTACTCTCAGTAGTTTAGAACTAGTGAGGCGTAGTTTTTGTTACACCCTTTTGCATGAGATCCCCCTGTTATAATCATGTTTATAAATCATGTTTTCCTGATGTGAATTGTTATGTTGTTCACCAGTGCTGTCCTTTTGAATGTCAGGAGCAGCATTTCTTAGTATCACAACCATCTATGCTGAGAGTGGATCAGGTTTTGTGGTGCCAAGTGCTTCTTCCAAAGCAGGCGTGGAAGCCATGAGCAAGTGAGTACTCTTATTAATTCCATAGCTGAGGGTCAATAATGTTCTCTGATCACTCGTGCAACTAATTTCCAGCCTTTTGATCTCTAACTAGAGCAAAATAAAAGAGGGTGCTTTGCATTCACCTGTTTGTTGGATGCAGTATGGTCCAAAGGAACTTTGGCCAGTGATGGGAATGCTCTGTAATTGGCACTATCAGATCATCATATGTGGCTTCCGAACCCGTTAAACACAATTACTCTTACGGAACAACTTCAAAACTTTAAACTCGGGAGCAGATGTCTTGCTTGGTGGCTCACACAGCTGTGTCCCACTTCGGAGTAGCTGGGCTGCATTTCCTGTTCTGGTACTTCTGCTTTCCTGCCAGTGCAGACCTGTGAGGACTCATCCATGTGGATGACATGGATTGGGCTGCTGGCTCCTGGATTTGACCCTGACCTAACCCCAACTGTTCTGGGCATTTTGTAAGTGGCTGAGTGTTCTTTCTGATCATCCAGTAAATAAAAATTACAAAATATTAGAATTAAATGGCCTGCCTTTTAGCCCTGTGCTTAGCATTTTAACTTGCACCACTAACCTGTGAAGTGAATTCCTTATCATATTACAGTAGTTACTCAGAATATAGAGTTGCTTATTGGGAGCTTATCGGTCATGTTAGAGTGGAACAAATTTATCTGGCCTGCCTCCCAAGCAGAGATAGGGATGCATTTTCCACCAGGAACATATCCGTCCTAGGTTGCTTAGTGTGTCACAGGATGATATAGACTGGGCTCACTTCAGTAATCCTGTTAGACATGAAGTTACTGCTTCTTTGGCAGTTTGGAGTAGGTGTGCTACAAGTACACGCCCCAGGATATCGTCACAGGCCTCATCCAAAGCATCATTCTCGGGTCAGATGTTGTGGGTGCAGTGGGTTAAACAGCTGCTTGAGATGCAACTCTCAGCTCCTTCACTTCTGAACCAGCTTCCTGTTGATTGCTACTCTGGGAAACAACAGATATGGTCCATGTGCTTGGGTTCCTGCCCCTCATGTTGAATGCCTGAATGGAGTTCCAGACTCCTGGCACTGACCTGGCATACTTGGCTGTTGTAGGTAGATAGGGAGTAAACACATGGACGATTTCTGTTTCTGTCCCCTGTCTGTAACTCACCTTCTTCGTCCTTTTTTGCAGCTTCTCCCTCCTTCTTTCCTCTCCTCCATCTCTCTCTGTTTCTCCCAGTTTCTCTCATATCCTGCCTGTCAAATAAATGAATGAATAAACAAATCTGTTTTAAAAATGCATAGCTTGGAGAAGGTGATTTGCTTGTGAAAAAGATAATAGAGTCAGTCCATTTTTCTAATATGTATTCATGGATTAAGTGAGGCGCAAGCCTCCCTGGCATCCTGAGCTGCCTGTCCTGTAGGACTGGAATTGGTTTAGCTGAATTGGCCTTTGAGTTGTTATGGGGGCACTCTATTAATAGGTATCTGTGCTTTCATATAACACATTCAATTTCATCTATTGCAAGGATACAGTGTCATAAGGACACTATTACAGTGTTGAATTTCCCTTTTATCAGTCTTCCAGAAGACGTGATTTTCTGGCCTTTCTATTAGAAAAAGAAAATGTGCCTTTCCTGAACACTCAGTTTGCTTTTTCCATGTGAGCTCTGTAAGTTGTGTAACGAATTAGGCTTAACTTTTTTGCATAGGATCATGGAAACAGTAGATAGTAATTTGTGATCTGCCTCTGGCAGTTACATTGAATTTAAAAATCCATTTAGATATTAGCTTCCTTATTCCTATCTTTGTGTTTGCTTTTTATTTGCTTTTCAATTTGTATTCCGTCTTTCTGCCTGCCTTCCTTCTTTGCATTATATCTATTCTTTGACGCTACCTTAACACATTTAAAAAAACTAAATTAATGATATGACTATGGGAAATGGATGTTTATTTTGGTGCAAAAATTTTATGAAAAGCATATAGTTTTTCTTGTTTTAATAAATATCAGAAAGTTAATCTTATAGCTACTGCTACTGCTACTAAGGAACTATAAAAGACTGGGAGTGGAAATGGGGAGGGAGGAAATGGAGAGAGGGAAGGACTGTATTGCCTTAAGTAATAAAAACATTGGAAAAATATGCATGAATTTTGTTTTATGCACCAGAATAAACATGTTTTAATTCCCTTTTCATAATCATTTTGAAATACCCTCATTTGCACACAACCCTACATACTATTATAAATTCTGAAGGTATAGAAGAGTGAAGCGAAGCTAGACCTACCAAGCAGGCTTTGGAAACCAGTAGCTGCAGCATTCTTTGTTTGCTGTTTGTGTTACTCTTTGCCTCAGAACCTTTAGAAAGACTCTGTTAGTTTCCTGTTTCTTATAGTTTCCGATTTTAAATGCAGTTCCACAGTAGTGTGAAAGCTTAGTTAAACATGGATATGGCGAATATCTTAAATTTTTGTCACCTATCTCTTATTCAATTAAATGATTTTTGGTATTGCAGAGATTGTAATCCAAGTAACAGGGCTATAAGCAAAATAACAATGAAGTTTATAAATGCAAGATTAACTTCCAGAAAATGTGGGGAAAGGGCATTAAACTCTCATGTCTTGATGTGAGTAATGAATACTTACGCTAAAAACATATAATATAACATGTAATAATCTTGTTTTGATTGTAAAGGGTAGGTAGTGCAGCCTACTGTTTAAGGGCATGAAAACAGCAATGGGAGATTCTACAACAGCGGGGTTGAGGGCAGACTTTTATACTAGACCATTTGGGTTCCATAAGTTATTAGCTTGACCCAGAGAAAAGAATTTGCATTCTGCTTGTCTCAGTTACTGCTTCTGCTACATAGAGCGATAGCAGGCTCTGTCTGTTGGGATTATGAACCCTGGTGTGTAGTAAGCATGCAGTGTGTCTTGTTGATTTGTGTTTTCTGCACGTGGTATAATATTTTAAATTTAACCTTGTCATTGTAATTTGTAGGTCTCTTGCAGCTGAATGGGGTAGATATGGAATGCGATTCAATGTGATTCAGCCGGGGCCTATAAAAACCAAAGTAAGTTTTGCTTTGCTTAACTTGTGAATGATTAAAGAATTAGGAAGTGACAGGTTTATTCTGATTATTTTGTGAACAACTTTTGGGGTGCCTGGATCTGAAAGCATGAATGTAGGAAGAAGTTTGTGCCATCACCCAGTATGGGAGGTGAGCAAAACATAACAGCTGTGTAACTTCTTGATAACTTCTATTTCTTTGTCTTAAACTTCCAGGATCTTTTTTTTTTTCCCTTTGCTATCATTTTTTTTTCTGATTTGCTTTGTCACTCTCAGTCTGTTATTATACTGTATTTTTAAAGTTTGATATTTTAAAATCTCTTTGACATCCTTATTTAATTTTTAATATTCTTTGGAAGGTAGAATCAGATAGAGACAGGAAGAGAGTGCGAGACAGCTTCCATCTGCTGGTTCACTCCTCTAAGGCCCACAACAGCTGGTGCTGTGCGAGGCTGAAGCCAGCAGCTGGAATGTCATTTTGAGTCTTGCATAAAGGTGGCAGGGACTCAAGTACTTGAGCTGTGATCTGCTGCTCCCTGGTGTGTACAGTAGCAGGAAGCTGGGATCAACAGCTGAACCAGGACTTAAACCTGGACTCTATGATACATGATGCAGGCATCCCAGGTGGTGTCCGAACCTCTGCAGTAAACACCTGCCCCGGCATTTGTTTTTAATTTATTTTTATTGGAAAGTCAGATAGACAGATAGGAGGAGAGACAGAGAGGAAGATCTTCTGTCTGATGATTCACTCTCAAAGTGGCCACAAAAGTCAGGATCCCGGAGCTCTTCTAGGTCTCCCACGTGGGCACAGGGTCTCAAGGCTTTGGGCTGTGCTCAACTGCTTTCTCAAGCAGAGAGCTGGGTGGGAAGCGTGGCTGCTGGGATTAGAACTGGCGGTCGTATGGGATCCTAGTGCGTTGAAGGCAAGGACTTTATCAGCTAGGCCAACACGCTGGGCCCAGCCCAGCATTCTTTTTTAAAGTGATGAAACTGTTAACTGTATTTTTAATTTAAGAGGTGCTCTGGAAATTTACCATATGGGTTTGGTCTTGCCATAAGTAGCATTTTCTTTGACTCATGTCTTTGCCTTTCACTCTCAGTCAATTATGCATGTCATCTAACTCCTACATCTCTCTGATTAAAATCTTTCCAATGGCATTCATTTCACCTAAAATTAATAATCCCCACAGACATTCACTGTAACTCATAATTATCAGTAATTTTGTTGCAGATGTTGCTCAAATTCTCTTTAGTTCTTTATTCCCTCATATGATTGAAAATAACTTAATTCTCACACTTCTTTTTTTTCCATATAAATAAAAAATTTAGATGCAACCAGGATATAGCTTTGAAAATCCAGTCAGATTTGTAACTTTTACTAAGGAATAGTTGGGTGATAGGTAGTTCTTGAGTATTAAATACTAACATGGAAATAGACATTTATCAGTTTTATCAAGCAGTTTGATTACTAAAAAATGGAAAGAATGCTTATCTCTCTTTTAAAGAAATAAAATGATTTTTTAAGAAAGATTTGTTTTTATTGGAAAGGCAGATTTACAGAGAGAAGGAGAGACTGAGAAAAAGATCTTCCATCTACTGGATCACTCCCCAAGTGGCCACAATGTCTGGAGCTGAGCTGATCTGAAGCCAGGAGCCAGGAACTTCTCCTGGACCTACCATGTGGATGAGGGGTCCTAAGGCTTTGGGCCGTGCTTGACTGCTTTCCCAGGCCACAAGCCAGGAGTGGAAGCGAAGTGGAGGAACTGGAATACAAGTGGCATCTATATGGCATCCCTGTGCTTGAAGGCGAGGATTAGCCAATTGAGCCATTGCACCAGACCCCTAAAATAATTTTTTGGTTCTTAGTTTTTATTTTCCAATTTTGTAGGCATAGGACTTCCTTCAGCTGCCACCCCTTTCATCCTCTTCTCTCCACCCCCCAGCCATTGTCTCCTGTGTTTTGTAGAGTCTATCAGGTGGAGTCTTGACTCTTAACTTTCTGCTCTCTATGTGCATCGTGACACTGTTGTTACAGGCAGTGGTAGAAGGTTTCATATTTTGTTGTCTAGGTACATTTACAGGTTTCATTGGGGGTCTACTTTTATTCAGTAATAGAGATGCATTCTGTCGATTTTCTTTGATTTCTGGTACTCTGCTTTCCATCACATCCTTTGTTTGTGAGATTATAAGTGTATGTTTGTTTACTGTTATTTTTGTTTGTATTGTTTATGAAGATTGCTTTATTTTTAGAGCAAACATATGACACGTGTCCTTTTGGGATTAGCTCATTTCAATGAGTATAATGGTCTGCAGTTGGGACCATTTGGTTGCAAATGATAAAATTTCATTTTTCTTAATAGCTAGTAGTATTTCAGAGAGTGGATGTATCGGAGTTTCCTTCCCCAGTCCTCCTTCAATGGGCATCTGCATTGTTTCCATGGCTTTGCAGTTGCTGATTGTGCTGCAATGAATAAGAGGTGCAGGTTGCTTTCTCATATGTATATGTTAGTTCTTTTGGATATATTCTTAGGGGTGGGATTGCTGGATTATATAGTAGGTGAATTGTCAGTTGCCCAAGTACCACCTTCCATGGTGGCTACACAAGTCTACCGTCCTACTAGCAGTGGATAGTGTACCTTTTGCCCAACATCCTCACCAGCAGGTGTTGTTTTAGGTTGATGGTTTTCTGCATGTGGGCTTCTCACTGCGGTTAAGTAGAACAAACCTCTGTGTGGCTTTTATTTGAATTTCCCTTACTGCTAGGGAGCTTAAGCATTTTTACATATGCTGTTAGCCATTTGGATTTGTTCCTTTGAAAAGCGTCTGCTCATCTCCTTTGCCAATTTGTTAACTGGTTTGTTTGTTATTATTGTATTTCTGGAGTTCTATGTGTATTCTGAATATTAGCTCACTATTTTGTAGTGTGCAAAGATTTTCTCTTACTCTGTTAGCTGCTTTTTTACTTTGTTGATTGTTTCCTTTGCTGTACAGAAGCTTCTAAGTTTGATATAGTCCTGTTTATTTTGGTATGGACTACCTGTGCTTTTGATGCTTTTTCTAGAAAGTCTTTGCCTATGTCTGTATCTTGGAGAGTATTTCTTATGTTTTCTTCTTCTACTAGATGGTGGTTTTTGGGTGATGTTTAGATCCTTTATCCATTTAGATTTGTGTGTGTGTGTGTGTGTGTGCGGTGAAAGGTGATGTCTTGTTTCATACTTCTGCATGCTGCTATCCAAGAGACCAACTTTATTCCCCGGGTTGTTTTCTGTTCTCTTGTCAAAGATTAGGTGACTGTACGTGTGTGGGCTCTGTTCTGATGTTTCTCTTCTGCTTCATTGCTCTTCCTGTTTCCATACCACTGCCAGGCTGTTTTGATTACTACTACCCTACAGTATGTCCTAAGATTGGGAATTGTGATCCCTCCAGCTAGATTCTTATTCTTCGAGATAGTTTTGGCAATTCGTGGTCTCTTACATTTCCAGCTGGATTTTTGTATCTTTTTTTTTTTTAAACTCTGGGAGGTATATTCTTGGGATTTTCATTGGGATCTTATTGAATCTGTGTATTGTTCTTGGTAATATGGACATTTTTATTATGTTGACTCTGCCTATGCAGGAACATGGTATACTTCTCCATTTTTAAAAGTTTTCTTCTATTTGTTTTTTGAATGCTTTGTAGTTTTCCTTATAGAAATGTTTCATGTCTTTAGTTAGGTTAATTTCAAGGTATTTAGTTGTCTTCTGTGCTATTTTGAAAGGGGCAGTACGAACTAGTTCTTTTTCAGTCCTGGAGTAGTTTGTTATATACTAGGGCCATTGATTTATGTTCATTTATTTTGTACCTTGCCACCTTACCAAACTCTCTCATAAGTTCTAAAAGCCTCTTTATTGAGTCTTTTGATTCTCTTATGTATAGAATCATGTTGTCTGCAAACAGAGATGTTTGACTTTGTCTTTCCCAATTTAAATTCCTTTAATTTCTTTTTCTTGCCTCATAGCTGTTAGTGAAGACAGTAGTATGCTAAAGAGCAGATGCAGTAGTGAACATTCTTGTCTAGCTCCAGATCTTAGTGGGAAAGCTTCCAGTCTTTCTCAATTCAGCAGGATGCCGGCATCAGCTTTTTTCATAAGTTGATTTGATTATGTTGTAGTATGTTCCTTCTGTGCTTATCTTGCTTAGAGCTTTTAGCATCAAGTGGTGTTGGATCATATGGTTTTTTATGGTCTTCAGTTTCTTGGTGTGATGCATCACATTTATAGACTTGCGTATGTTAAACCATCTCTGCATGCCAGGGATAAATCCTACCTGGTCTGGGTGAATGATCTGTTTGATATATTGTTGGGTTCTGTTGGCTAGTGTTTTGTAGAATTTTATGTCTGTGCTCGTCAGTGATATGAGCATCTGCATATTAAATATCTCAAATAGTTTGTGATGGGGCTGATGTGTGTGACATAGTGCATAAAGCTACTGCCTGCTGTGCTGGCACCCCACGTGGACAGCAGTTTGAATCCTGGCTGCATCATTTCTAACCCAGCTCCCTGCTAATACATCTAGGAAAGCAGCAAAACGTAGTTCAGCCCCTTAGGCCTCCACGTGGAAGATCCAAAAGAAGCTCCTGGCTCCTAGCTTTGGATCAGCCCAGCTCTGGCTATTGCTGACATCTGGGGAGTGAGCCAGCAGATGGAAGATCTCTCTCTTTCCATCTCTGTCTCTCTCTCCCCCCTCCCTATCTCCCTTCTTCCTTCTCTTTCTCTCCCCCTGTAATTCTTTCAAATGAACAAATCTAAAAAAAAGTGTGGAAAGATGGAATTAAAAAGATGAATTTATTCTGATGCAAAAAAGGTGTGGAGTCCATGCATTATCGTGTCATAATATTTATCTTCAGTGGCCTTTTTGGGGACCCTTATATTTTTGAATACTTTTATATACATTTCTGCTAGTCCTTGTGACCATTTTGTGAGGCACTAAGAGAGATATATTTATTTCACAAGGAGGATAATTAAAGTAAAATGTTATATTTCTAGTGGATTTTTTGGGTTTAATTAGATAAAATGACTTCCTTTGAACTGCTTGAATATGAAATTTTGGGGAATTTTATTACTTTTCAGGTGAAGAGGCTACCATCGTATAATTATATTTTATTCAGATTTGTTTCCTAAGGAAGAAATGGGTTGAATTTTTAAAAATTGCTTCTTTCCCCCCCCCCCCTCCAATTCAGGGTGCCTTTAGCCGTATGGACCCAACTGGAGCATTTGAGAGAGAAATGATTGACAGAATTCCCTGTGGTCGGCTAGGGACTGCAGAAGAACTGGCAAATCTCGCTGTTTTCCTTTGTAGTGATTATGCTTCTTGGATTAATGGAGCAGTAAGCATTATTGTATCTCTGTTTTCGGTGGGGAGGGGTCTGAGATTGAGAAGGCTGACTCATTGTGAAATCTGTGTTACCAATGCTGAGTGTCATGATGATTTAAAACATTTACTTAGCTATTAATGATAAAGTCAGCAAGAAATATATTTATAATAAAAGTAATTTCGTTAGGTGCGAGTTATCCTGATAGGAATGTCTTTAAGATCTTTATGACTAGATAGAATATTCTGGATGGAATAAATCAATTTAGGTTTCGTCATCAGTTTTATTTTTAGCATTCGGGATTTGATTGAATGTGCCAAGAGGACATTGCATCCAGTTAGAATGTGGAAATGGCTATTGGTTCAGAATCTTTTAAAAATGAATTTCATATCAGGGTTTTCAATATTTTTTTTCAGGTCATCAGATTTGATGGTGGAGAGGAAGTGTTCATATCAGGTGAATTCAACAGTCTGAGGAAGGTAATGCCATTTTTCTGTGTATCAGACATCATTAGCAGCTAGGATACTAAGCGTCAAAACCATGTGGGAGTCATATTAAATTTACATCTGTTTTCTGTGTCAGGTTACCAAGGAACAATGGGACACGATAGAAGGACTTATCAGGAAGACAAAAGGCTCCTGAGGTGACTACATGCCTTCATCGTGGTGACACTAAAGTCAGACAATAGAGTGCAAACCGACTGTAATCTCATCAAGTCTAATAAATTGTTAATTAACATTCATTGAGTGTGTATTATGACACAGACCAGTGATAGCTAGTGTATATCAAAGGTATGATAGGATATTTTTTCTTCAAGTTGTAAAAACTTAGGACGACTGAACTGCTTGGGTCTCTGCCACCAAGTGGAGACACTGATGGGGCTCAGGTTCTCCTGCCTTCAGCCTGAGCCAACCTGGCTGGCGGGGGTTTATTTGTGGAGATAACCAGTGGATGGAAGATCTAGCTCTCTGTTCCTCTCCCCTTCTCTGTGTCACTCTGTCTTTTTGATGAATAAAAAATAAGTAAGAGTCACTTTATTTCTGGTAAACAAAATAACAAATAAAATAATTTTCCAATAAGTAACATTAAATGCTGTTTTAAAATGTAGAAACGTGGCCTTGTTCAGTGGTGTAGCAAGGTAATCCTTGACCTGTGAGGCTGGCATCCCATATGGCAGCCAATTCAGGTTCCAGCTGCTCCATTTCCAATTGAGCTCCCTGCTTGTGGCCTGGAAAAGCATCAGCGGATGAAGCCCTTGGGCTCCTGCATCAACTGAGAGACCTGAATGAAGCTCCTGGCTCCAGGCATCAGATCAGCATCGGTTCACTTGGGGAGTGAACTAACAGGTGGAAGATCTCTCTCTCTCTGTCTCATCTTCTTTCTGTAACTCTACCTTTCAAATAAAAATAACTCCTTTAAGAAAATATAAAAACATGAATGAAAGGTGCACCTTGTCTGTTTCTACTCTTTCATTTTTGTCATGATAAGAAAATAAGAGAATACAAAATAGTTTTTAAAGTACATTTTTTAAAAATTAGTGTTTATTTTTTAAACTTAGTTATTTTCTGTGAGGGTAGTTTGCATGTGCATATAGTGTTTTTTTTTGGTTAAATTTTTATTTTGAACTTTTGAATTGTATAGTACAAGTGCATACCATTTATAAAAAGAGTTTACCACAGGGGCTGGCACTGGGGCATAGTAAGCTAATCCTCCACTTCTGGCACCAGACAGCCAAGACAGTATAAATAATAAAGGGCCCTTTTGCAAGATGTTATTATTGACATTAAGCTCCAAGCTCACACTGAGTAAAAGGCCAACTCCACAGTAGCAAACAATGCCTGGCTGGATTAGAGTTCTTCTGCAGGGTGGTCCGGTGTCCATGCAAAGGGAGGTGGAGCTGCATTCAGGTGGCTGTAGAGACATCCACAGAGCCCTGCGATACAGCGGGAAGTTCCTTGCGACCCTGCCTCAATGGAACAATGCTCTTCACACCTTTGTGTCCCCCACATCCATTGCACGGACCCCAGCAGTTTCCTGCTTATGGACTGGGAAAGCAATGGAAGATGGCTCAAGCCTTTGGGGCCCTGTACCCTGAGAGAAACCCAGAAGGTGGTCCTGGCTCTTAACTTGTCCAGCTCTGGCCATTGCAGTCATTTGGGGAGTGAACCAGCAGATGGAAGGCCTCTCTCATGTCCTTCTCTCTGTAAATTTGCCTAGCAAAGAAAATTAAATGAATTTGTTTTTGTTTTCTTAAGAAATTTGCTGTAGTTTGTTCCCCAACTAGTTTCTATCTTCAACTCTTGAATGTTTTTGCTTGTGTTTCTGGAAGATGCCCCCAGCTTATAAATGCAACATCTTTATTTTGCTATTTCTTGATTATTGCCCCAATTGTAGAAACTGTTGAGTTTCTTCCCTGCGTGATGGTTTAGCGCCTTCATTCCATTTGCATACCCGTCGTCTGCCTGCTGCTTCTCTGCAAACATACTTGGACACAGGGAACACTTCTCCATGAATTCTACCATGATAGCTGTGCCTCTATTTTGCATTATTTGCTTTTTTTTTCTTTTTAACATATTTATGCCTTAGTAAATTTTTTCGTTTCCCAAGATTTTTGATCCTTTTTTAGGACATCTTGGCTGCTGTGTCATGAATCAGATCCCTTTTTAACACCTATCTGATGGTTAGTATTCCATGACTAATAGGTATTATACTATACTATACTATACTATACTATACTATACTATACTATACTATACTATATATTCTTTACTCAGAATTAGGTTATTTTTATTATTTTTAATTAAATTTTATTCAAAGTTATGTTCCAGTGCTCCTTTGGCAAGTGCATTTAAAAAATTTTAGTATTATTATTGTTGACAGATTTTAATTATGTGTATTTATGGGGTTCAGTATAATGTTTCCATTTCTGCATTCAGTATGGAGTGATAAAATCAAGTGAATTAGCATGCTGATCATATAATTGACTTTATGTTTTGCACTGAGACATTTGAAATGTATCCTCTTGTCTTTAAAGGCATTGCTAATCATTATTGATTATAGTCACTTTGCTCTGTAGTAGGTGTCAAAGCCAGTATTTCTTTCTTCCACTCATCTGCCAGGTTCTGGGAAGAACTCATTCTATTTGCTTCCTCCTTGAGTTCCACCTCTTTTGCCACATACAAATGACATTTTCACGTATTATAAATATACACAGCATTTTCAGATTTGGAATTTTTCCTCAAGATGAGTTGTTAGAAATATTACTAATCAAGTGTTGTGAGGCCTTTATTTTTATTTCAAAGCACATCATGGAGAGGGAGAGAAGTCTTCTATCGACTGGTTCACTCCCCAGATGGCTGTAATGGACCAGGGGTGGGCCAGGTGGGAGCCAGGAGCTTCACCCGGGTTTCCCATGTGGGTATGGAGCGCCAAACACATGGGCTTGTCTTCACAGCTTCTCCTAGGCTGGAAGTGGAGCAGACGAACTTGAACTTGCACCCATATGGGATGCCAGCAGGTTAGGTGGCAGTTTAGCCCACTATACCAGAGCATGGGCTCTGGGGTATGAAACTTTTAAGGGCTGTTGATATTTATTTCCAAATTTTTATTCCAAAGATTTATATGGGCTTACACACCTTAGAGCTTTGTGGCACCAAGTCCATTCCAACAATGATTGTGGCATGGTGGGTGGAGCCGGCACCTGAGATGTTATTTCCCAGCTACTTCACTTCTTCAATTTATTTTACTTGGAAAGACAGATATACAGAGAGGAAGATCTTATGTCTGTTGACTCGTTCCTTAAGTGGTTGCGATGGCTAGGACTATGCTGATCAGAGCCAGAGGGCGAGAGCCTCTTCCAGGTCTTCCACGTGGGTGCAGGGTCCCAAAGCTTTGGGCTGTCCTCAACTGCTTTCCCAGGCCACAAGCAGGGAGCCAGATGCCTGATGGGAAGTGGCGCTGCCGGGACATGAACTGGCAACCACATGGGATCCTGGCACGTACAAGACAAGGACCCCAACCACTAAGCTCTCACGCTGGGCCCAGCTGGCTGCTTCACTTCTAATCCGGCTCTGCTAATGATCTGGGGAAAGTAGCAGATGATGGCCCAAATGGTTGAGGCTCAGCTAGTCATGTGAGAAACCCCAGATAATGCTCCTGGCTTCAACCTGGCCCAACTTTTGCAATTGCAGCCATCTGGGGAGTGAACCAGTAGCTAGAAGATTCTGTCTCTGTCTCTCAAGCAAAATAAATAAGTAAATCTTAAACAATTAGCTGACAACAATTAAAACCATTTTCCAGGGGCAGGTGTTTTGCCTTCTGGTTAAGCCACTCCAGGCTTACTACATCCCATATTAGCATGGCTGAGTTCAAGAAGGCCTGGGTACCTTTTGGTTTCCAGCTTCGTGTTCATGCGTAGCCTGAGAAGCATCAGGTGATGGGTCACTTGTGTTGTGCTTGTTTCTTGGGAGATCTTCTTGGGAGATCTAGTTTCTACTTGGCTGTAAGCTTCTGGGGAATGAACCAGTGGATCAGGGCTGTCTCATTAACTCAAATAAGTATATTTGAGTATTACTAAGTTTATAATATAGACCTTTAAAAATGTGCTCAATTATTAGTGAGCTGGTATGCTCTTATACTTGTAAATTTCCTATTTCTCTTTCTCACTGTTGGCTTCTCCATAGAGCATTCTAAGCAGCTTTATTTGTTTCTTTGTATTTTCTTGAGTGCCCCATTCCTGCATACCATTACAAATGGTGAATGAGAGAGCAAAGCTTGTTTTTATGACAGAATCAGAAAAGAGAATTAATGGGGGGATATATTGGCTAACAATATATTCCTGAAGCTGAAACAGAAACATTGAGAGACAGTCACAACATCATATGATAGGCCATGTCATTTTTTTCACCTGAAGAATGATTGCTCTGTCAGTGTAACTGATATCTTTTATAAAAGTCCTGCTTCTCTTGCACTCATGGAAAAATTAATACTTAGTAAATTAAGGTGGAGCTTATTGGTAACACTGTCACTTATCTTACTATTAACATGTGAAACCTGCAGGAAATGTTTCAGGTACAACGTGACAGCCATTGTTTCTTTATTGTTCTTGTGGAAACAAAAGCAGCGATATTTAAGTGACTTTGAATAATAAAATTTTACAGCTAGAAAATCCTTAGGCAATACAAATTCTCAAACCTTTTATCACTGAGCCTGTGACTGAAGTTAATCTGACTGCTGTAGGTCACCACTGGTTAGCTTCACATCTCTTGACCAATTGTAGGTTTCTTAGGCTCATGGCTTAAATTGAGAGAGAATAATATCCTTACGAGGTATCATTTTGTTGCTAAATGTTTCAACAGGAAGAAGCTCAGAAATAAAAAAAAAACTTGTCTAATTAGAAAAGTGTGCAAATCACAAATTATAAAACAAATGAGTATATCATGTGATCACTTCTCAGCTCAAGAAGCAGGTCATGGAGGCTGGCATGTGGCACAGCAAATTCAGCTGCTGCTTAGGCCCCCAGAATCCTGTATTAAAGTACCAAATCAAGTCTCAGCTGCCCTGCTTCTGATTCAGCTCTCAGTGTACCTGGGAACAAAGCAGATGATGGTCCAAGTTCTTGGGTCCCTGCCACCCTGGTTGGAGAACTAGATGAAGTTCCTGACTGCTACCTTTGGGTTGGTCCAGCCTTGGCTGTTTTTAGCTAGTTAGGGAGTAAATTAGTGGGTAAAAGATCTTTCACTTTCTCCCTCTCTATGACTCTTCCTTTCAATTAAAAAAAATCTTAAAATTAAAAAACACAACATTGCTGGGAATTCAGAAGCTTCCCTCTTGTTCCCCACGTAGATGCTCTACCTTTTTTTATACCCACAATGCCATGAAACACATAGCAGAGAGTTAATCTTGTAACTATTACCATACTACTGTGATGTGGTTTAAAATGGCAGGAGGGGTAATTGGGGAGTGATGAAGGTAAGGGGCAGGAAGAAATACTTATATCTACAGAACTATATAATGGAAAACAATTATAGTAATGACAATAAATCCTACAAAAAGATTCCCTACTTGCTCCAATCTTGACTTAACACATAGCTAAGCAGGTTTTGAGATGTTCATAAATAGAATCCTACAGTCTGGCTTTTGTTGTGGGTAGCAGCTGTTTATGTATCTCATTGTCCAGGGATTTTCTCTGGACTGTATGTTATAAAGGAGGCACCACAGTTTTAGTTCTGTTATTGGTAATTCAGATTGTTTCCAGTTTGAGTCTCTCCTAAAGACAATGATGATATAAACATTGTTCTTGTGGTGAAAATAAATCCCACAATCATTAGATTGATAACACGTAGGCGTGATATCATTGGTTGTGCATGTTTAAGTTTAGTAGATACTGCCAGGGCCTTTCTAAAGTACGCATAGTGTAACCACTCCACAGCCATTGTCTTACACACACTGAGCAGGTGGCACCTACACTTGTAGTCTTTCTGATGCATGGATGCTGCCATCTACATGTTTGGAACTGGTATTTGTCCTCTTTGCTAATCTAGTCCATCACATCTTTCTGTTTAGTGACATTTAGAGATCTGTGAAATGCCTATTCATCTTTCTTTCGCGTTTCTCTATATTAGCATGTTTACATATTTAAAGAAGCTGATTTCCAGGAGTAATACTTATATATTTTGGATTTTGCTTCTGTCAGGTATGGATTATAAATACCGCCTTACTTTGAATTTGATTTTTAAATCTCTTAATAGTATATTTTCATGAACAGGAGTACTTAACAGAGTCCATGTTTTTAATCTGTTTCTTCTGAATTGGTGCTGAGAAATATTTCCATGCACAGGATTTTGAGGATACTCTTCTGTTCCCAAATGCATGTCTTTTACATTAAGAGTGGTAATAAGTTTGGGATGAGGTTGGTTTGTTGTCTGAGGTAGGCATTGTGCCAGTCATCTTGCATTTCCTCTTGCACATTCATTGTTAACAATCTTCACCCTGTTCCCTGGCCCAGGAAGCAGACCTGCCATGCCTACCGAAGTCTGAGGGATTCTGCTGAGGTAGAGGGCTTTCTTTATTGGGCAGTGCTTAGGAATTAATAACCAGCATCCTGAGCTTGGGACCTTATTACCGTGAACACTGTAGAAAGTCTCTTCAGAAAGACTCCAATCATACTTTTGGATGCTGCTTTTCTTTTTCCATGCTCTTATTGTAAGAATGCCAAACCGCTACAAGTTTGTGTGTATTTTGTGTTGAACAGCTATTTTTCTGCAGATGGAAAGTAGGAAAATTCTTACACTCCTCTGGACACCTTGCTTGAAGAAAACTTTGATAATGTCTGTTGTGCAAAAATCTCCAAATTTTTTAACTTTTTGAAATTTCTTTGTAAATGTTAATGCCAGAGTTACCCCTTTATTCAATGAATCACCTGATACAAGAAATTCATTTAGACAAGTTTATATTTATTTAGATTTTTCTTATGCTATAATAATCTGAGCATCCTACAGTTTACCTGTATTGATCATGGATTACATGTTAACTAACATTTTGGAGAGGAAACAAATACAATAAATCAAGGTTATTTTCTTCTTTATTTACTCTTAGAAAGTAAATTCAGTCTAATGTCAGTGCTTCCATTTATGTACTAGACACAAAGCCCAATCTATCATTCACATTATCCGATAAATTTGTTTTTTTTTTTTTTTGGCAGATCTCTTTTCTGTTCACTGTTGAGGGAAAGAACTCACATTTTTTTCTTTTAATTTATGAACTAAAAATAAGTGTTGAATTTATAGAATGGGGACGTTCAAGCTGACCCAGAACCATCATTAACTTTGGTGATAACTTTATAAATTTCATAGACACATTTCTCATAGCTCTCTACTCCATAATCAGAGAATGCAAACCATTAACTATTACATGTTAACTATTTCTAGTTATAGAATATGGTAACTACAAATAGGTGAAACTGACTTGGACACGGATCAAAGAATGTCTTAGAATCTTTCTTTGCTAGATAAGACAAATGATTACATTAGTATTTCTCTTCAAATATTTTTTTAAACTCCTTTGTAACTATTTGCAGATAGAAATAGAAGTATTTTGAGTGCTGATCTCAATATGAAATATAGAATCCACATAATGCACAAAAATATTGGTGGTATAACATTCAATAATCAGGATGTCATGAATTTTACATTAAAATTTCAGTTACATAGTAAAAAATAGAATTGTTATAGCTAGAAAAAAATATTTTCAGAGGCAGCAGATAGCCTTGCTGGAAACACACACTCTACAACGTAGACAGAAAATCCAGGAAGTATGCAAACTACACACCAATATAGTCAGTATATTAAATTTAATCAGAGATTACGCAGAATATGACAGAAACAGCAGTTTACTAGAGTAAGTGTAATCTGCAACATGTGAAAACAGTTTAGAAAATGATTTAAGGTCTTACTCTCTGACAGTAGGCTTGTGGAAATAGAGACATTGAGTCAGACAGGTTTGATGCTTCATCTGGTGCTGTCCTGTCACCAATTCGATTTCAACCAAAAGTTTCATGTGGATTCAAAGCCACAATCAACATTGGTTGATATTTTGGTGAGTATTTTGGATGTAAAAGCATATTCTTTCTAATAGCTGAAAATTTAACTTCAAATACAGTTGTGGGAAATATAACCTCAAAATGCATGTAACTGTTTAAGCTAAGAATGCTTAGGTTGCCATGGATAAATTACTCAATAGCAAGTGTGCTTTTATACATTAGAGACTACAATTTGATATTAATTCTGGTGGGATTCATAGAGACATCAGTGTCCAACTGTATTTGTGAAAGCAGGAATATATTAGGTTACTTTGTATTTTAATTAGGCATATGGACTGACCTAAGCATAGACTCTCCTTTCTCATCATATAGTTACAAAAACTGTACATTACAAACAGTATAGAAACAAGCTGAAAAGAATGTGCCACACATCCTGGATCATTATCTATATGCACTTAAATTTACAGATACAAAAGAAAATACAGCCTACTCCATTATAGTGCACAGTTATTTTTTTTAAAGATTCAATGTATCACTAGCAAGTAGCCACCCATTTTAGTTGTCCCCAGCAGAAAGGATAAGGGCAAGATCTGTTCGGTAGAGCTTCCCTCCATCCGACAAAGCCATTATGTTCTTCTTGTATGTTGGAATATTATTAATATCCAGTTCCTGTGACAGATGAGATTGTAATCCAGTTAAATGTGGAAGTTCATTAACCACTATCAAGTGATACATGTGAAATCAAACCTGCTTGTTACATCAGTCCAGTAAGTAAGCTGAAGGGGTGGGCGCCTAGCCTAGTTTAGATGCCCATGTCCCATTTCAGAGTTCCTGGATTCTATAGTGGGCTCTGGATCTTTACTCCAGTTTCCTGCTAATGCAAGACTCTGGGAAGCAGCAGGTGATGGCTCAGGTAATTGGGTGCTTTCCATGCACTTGGATAATCCATATTGAGTCTCTAGTTCCTGGCTTCGGTCTAGGCCAGGCTATTGTGGTGACTTGAGGAATGAACCAGCAAGATGGGAGTCCTATTTATGTGTGTGTGTGTTCAAGTCTGTCTCTATCTCTGCCTCTAATATAAGTTAATAAAAGAGCTGGATTAAACTCTTATATAAATTTGAATAATCATAGGTTTTCTTAAAGCCTGTTTATCATAGTTCCACTGATGTGGGCCCGAACCAAATTAAGTCAAGATATGAAATGTTCTTGTGGTGCTGCACAAGTGGTTTTAAGTAGATTTCCAAAATATGTGTGACTGCTCCAAGTTAGATTCTAAGATCTGCTTAACAAGTAAGTAGCATGTTAAATACATTACCTGTTTATTCTTCTCACACAGGTCCTTTAGCAAAGCATCCAGTTCATTTTCATCTATGTATCCATTGCCATCCTGGGGGATGAGGGAAGAGCACACAACCATCTTACAGTGGTGGTGGCTGATGAAATGACTGCATTTCATTGAAATACTCAGAAAATTCCCCACTGTACATAAACCTCAGTTTCAGGCCATCACACTTTCTACCTGCTCCCAAGTTACAAAAACAAGTGAGTTGTTTCTCATTCATGTCATACTCATAAAATATCAAACATTTCTGTAAAAGTTTATACTTAAATCATTGCCTTATGTTAACACTATTTTCTCCTTCTGAAACAGGAGAAGTAGAAAGGAAGTCATAATAGGTAGGAAAGTGAGAAAATAGTCAAAAACATGTTCATGTGTTATGTGAGGATGCTGAGGCCTGTGAGTGGCAGTTGGTTTAGAGCTCATGTTTCCACACGTGAAGAAATGGAGGCTCAGAGATGTTTCTTGTCAACGCCTCCCAGCCAAGAAACCACAGTGTGGAATCTGATCAGGGTTTGTATCCTCTATTTCCTGGGGGAAAATAAATTAGCCATATGATTTAATAGCACATGTTTCTTTTAATGTGAGCCTCAAGTGTCAGGTTGTTATTCTCCTTGAGTGAGCTTTGTCTAAATCCTTAAATATCGAATTGTGTATAAGAACAGACTTTCAGGCATCCAAATGAAACTCAAAAAGATACAATTATTGATTTATGGACAACATGACTTTTATATAAAAAAAAAAACCTGAGCACTCTGCAAAAACCTCTTGTATTAGTAAACAAACACAGTAGAGTTGCAAGACAAAATATCCACCTTAAAGCCAGTTGTCTCTATGCACTAACAACAGAATTATGAGAAGGATTACTAAAATCCTGTTATCAATAGTATGAACATCAAAGAATACTTCAAGTTATGGATTGGATAGAAGTTGGTTCTCCAAACTCATGAAGTTGTTTAAACTCTGAAGTCTTTTTTTTTTTTAAGATTTATTTTATTATTTTGATTGGAAAGGCGGATATACAGAGAGGAGAGACAGAGAGGAAGATCTTCCGTCCGATGATTCACTCCCCAAGTGAGCGCAACGGTCGATGCTATGCCGATCCAAAGCCAGGAGCCTCTTCCGGGTCTCCCACAAGGGTGCAGGGTCCCAAAGCTTTTTTTGTGCAAGGCGAGGACCTTAACCACTGCGCCACTGCGCTGGGCCCAACTCTGAAGTCTTAATGTTTAATGTTGGTGGAAGAAAGGTGGAGATTTGATCTAGTAATGGACTGAGGAGGTGGGTCTGGTCTATGGGAGATGTTATGGTCATGTCAGGTTTGCCTAGTTATCTCTGCTGAATTCGCCTTAGCTTGTCTGCTTTCTGGCTCACCATGCAATCATGTGTCAGCACCCCCTCTGCTATTTCCAGCCTCCTCCACACACCAAACTATTCAGGTAGATGGAATAGAAGTAGCAAAAAGTTGGTCATACACTTAAGAGTAAACTTATTAAGAAAGTGAAAGACTTGCATACTGAAAACTATACAACATTATTGAAGGTTGAAGGAGACACAAAACACATAAAAAGACATCCTGTGCTTATAGGCCAGAAGGCTAATATTGTTATAAACCAAAATGTCCATATTGCTGGAAGAAATCTCTCAATTCAATATTTATTTTCCCTGCTGTATTCCAATGGCATCTTTTTGCAGATATTGAAAACTGATACTCAGACTCATTCTAAAAAATTCTAACAGTCCTGAGAAAGAATAAAGGTGGAATCTGTACACTGCCTGATTGTAGCGTTAGCAGATACACAGATCAATGCATCAGCATAGACAGCCCTAAAGTCAGTGTGCGTGTCCACTGATAGTTGATAAGGCTAATCTCTTCAGCGAATGGGAGAAGAGGCATCATGCAAAAGAATGAAACAGATCCTTGTGCCATACACAAATATCTCAAACTATAGTAAAGATCTAAATGCAAGACATGAAACTTTAAAATTCATAGAACGGAGCAAAGCATTGTGACACTGGTCCTATCCGTCATTTTATGGATCTGAAATGACAAGCACAGGCAAGAGAAGCAAAAGCAGATAAGCTACACTGGTCTTGCACAGCAAAGGAACAGCCAAGTGAAAAAGCAGCCCACAGAAAGAGAGGCGTTATCTTGCAAGCTGTTTATCACATACGGAGTAAACTTCCAAAGTATGTAAGAAACTCACAAAGCTCATTAGTTTTTAACAAAATATCTAATCTAGCTGAAAAACATGGGCTAATAGCTAGGTTAGACATTTCTCCTTGGAAGAAGTACAAATTGCTAACAGGTAAATAAAAATGGTCAGCATCACTGACTGTCAGAGAACTGGTTAACACAGAGGCAAGATAACGGAACAGAAAGGCTACTTGCTTGGCTTGCTTAGTTTATGCTCTGTATGTATGTTAAAATATAACATTCAATCCCATACAATTATATTGCATTTTTATTAACTTTCAAAATTATTTATGAAAGAAAGCAAATTGCAATCACAATGAAGGGCAAACATTTACTACAGTAGTTTATATGGTGACTGGGATATTGCACTCCATATTGGGAGTTCCTGGGTTTAAGTCTCAAGTTCGATATTTCTAGTTCATTTTCTTGATAATAAGTACTTCGCATGGATCAAGTACTTAGAGCCCTACCACCTATGACACCCAGAATGAAATCCAGATTCCTGGTTTCTGCCTGGCTCAAACCAGCTGTTTTGGGAATTTAGAGCATAAAGCAGCAAATGGAAAATCTTTTTCTATCTGCCTCCCAAATCATTTTTTTAAAGGAATCACAGGGCCCTACGTGGTAACCTGGCAGCTGAATTGCTTGCCTTGCACGTGCCAGGATTCCATATGGGTGCTGGTTCTAATCCCAGCAACCCTGCTTCTTATCCAGCTCCCTGTGTGTGGCTTGGGAAAGCAGTTGGGAACGGCCCAAAGCCTTGGAACTCTGCATCCACGTTGGAGACCCCAAAGAGTCTTGGCTCCCTGTTTTGGATCAGCTCAGCTTTGACTGTTGCGACCACTTGGGCAGTGAATCGATGGATGGAAGATCTTCCTCTCTGTATATCTGACTTGGGAATAAAAATAAATAGTTCTTTGCAAAAAAAAAATCACAATGAAATATCAATTCACATCTTTAAATATGCTTATTATGAAGCAATAAGCAAGAGAAATATTAGCAGACGTTTGAATAAAATGGAACGCTTTTAGGCATATGATAAGCATATGATTCAGCCATTAAGTCACTGCCTGGAGTGCACACAATTATCTGGAACACTGAAAAATGGTTATGATGATGCTTAAGCAAGTTGAAAGTAGGAATACCATGCGACTGAGCAATTCCAGTGCCTGAGCATCTCTCCTAAGGAGATAGATCCTCAGGATCTCAAAGAGATATGAACACTGCAAGATTCAGTGTAGCATTACTCAGAAAACAAGGTGTGGAAACAAATCAAATGCCTACCTCTGGATGAATGGATAAAGAAATAATACAGTCATACACTCAGATATTTTACACCCTTAAAAATGGAAATCTTGCAAAAGATGACAAAAATAGATGAAACTTTAAGACATATTAAGTGAATTAAGCCAATCAGAGGACAAATATTCCACAGCTTCATGCAAATGAAAACTCCTACAAACTCATACCCTAGAAGGGCTGTTGCCATTGCCAGTGAAGGGGAAACTACCAGTCAAAAAACATACAGGTTCAGTTATGAAAATGAGTAAATACTAAAGACCTGCTGAACAATATTGTCTAGTCAACAACACTGTATTTTACATTAAAAATTTTGTTGAGAGGAAAGATCCTGCACTGTTATACCATAATAAAAACGATAAAAATGAATTTTTACCTGATCATATAACTCAAAAGCCTTATTGAACTCTTTCCCACACATTTTGACTCCCTAGGAGACAGAGAATAAAGGTTATAATGTTCTTAATATACTCCAGGATATTTCCCTTGAGAAATATCTTACATTCCATCTTTTCAATGATAGCCTTATTTGCTGTAGAAAAAAGTTAAATACCTGAAATTTAAGAAGGAAATTCTCTTGCACTGGTAGTAACCTTTTGAGAGAAAAACATAACAGTACATTGTATTTTTGCAAAGGGAACAGTTTATGAGAACATATATGTAGTCCCTAAACTTACCTTGCCATCTCGGTTAATTCCAGCTTCCCATCATTATTTGAATCAAACAGTTTCAGCTGGAAGACAGAATGACATTGTCATGGTTCACTGAGTGAGGAGTATGAACATTCAAGATAACTCACGCGACATACGTAAATAGTGAAATTTTTTAAACAAATGTTCTTTAAACTTGCAATTCAAATTTTGATTTTTTAATTTGAGTAAATTGCCCAAGAACAAAAGCTGGAATAGAGTAGTACTGGTTTTAGACTTCAAGGCTACCATAATTTCTTTTCCTTGACAATGTATGTGTTACTGTGTACAGCTTGTGGCACAAGTGCCTCCTCAAACAATGTTCTGACAAAAAATATTGAAGTGGTTTCATATTTTTGGAGCTTAAAAATATAAATAAGAGAAATATAAGGATAACATGCATAGATCCATAGGAAATAGAATTCTACCATAATTTTTGTTTTCCATTGGGTATGACATATTCATTAAATCTTAGTAACTCCCCATGACAGTTACACATACGCCATATACTAAGACCCCCACAAACATAAACACCCTCATATCAACAGTTTGGAAATATTTACACTTTTTAAAGTGACAACTGTTGCCATGTTATAGAAATGTATAAATATACATACATGTGGATATAAATGGAATACTAACTATATAAAAGGCATTGCTTTGTTTCTGAAATAAAGAATTTGATGCATATAGGCTAATGGATGTAGAGTTAGTGATTTTTTTTTTTTAGTGACATCTTTTTAAGGAGAAAAGGAAGAATATTCTGTTTTCCAAAGATGTTCTTAGAATTCTTTGTAGAAGGTAGATTTTTTTCAGGGTCCTACCCTGACCTGACATTTTTATAATCTGTTACTGTTATACTGTCTACCAAGCTAGTTGGACAACTAGATCACACAGAGTAATGCCTATAGGGAATGTCTCCTCACATATATATTTAAATTTTAATTAGTTCTTGGTTAATTTGCTTCCTGAATTTGAACTGGTTTATGACATTTAATCAGATACCCTAGGCCAACCCAAGAGAGGGAAAGTCCCATCTGAGTGGGTTCTGAAAGGCTGCATAAAATTTCTACCTGGAAAGGAAATTTGACTTTAAATAGCTTGTCCCTTAAGGTAAGAACAAAATAGAAAATTGATAAATGTAGGTTATTATTCATTTCCCAAAGGTCATTCAGAGCTCATATCTGCCCATTGTGGCAAACAGCCAGAAAATCTCCCCTTTTGTTTGCTAATGTTATAAATGGACAAATAATGAAAAGTTAAGGGAGACCATGAAGATATTTTTGGTTGTTTTGAAAATGAAGATTAGTCTATAACAAATATCGCAGTTTTATGAGCAAAGGCATACATGAATTCCCACTGGCTATTCCCCACCAGAGGCAAGTAGGTTGAGAGGCTGAAAGTAAAACGCAGTCCCTCATAACACTGTTTCTCAACAAAGTGAAAAATCCTCATGAATCAATCTAACAAAACAGCAGCTCTTTTAATACACAACTATGTTTTCTCGGTTACTCATTTAAATCTATGTTGGGACAATTCACAGGATCTGGCCTGGCGTGGTGGCCTAGAGGCTGAAGTCCTAACCTTGCATGTGCTGCAATCCCATTTGGCCACCAGTTTGTATACTGGCAGCTCCACTTCCCATCCAGCTCCCTGCTTGTGTCTTGGGAAAGCAGTCAAGGATGGACCAAAGCCTTGCGTCCCTACACCCATGTGGAAGACCTTTAAGAAGCAGCTGCTGGCTCCTAGCTTCAAATCAGTTCATCTCCGGCCGTTGCAGCCAGTTGGGGAGTGAACCAGCAGATGGAATATCTTTCTCTCAGTCTCTGCTTCTCTCTGGAAATCTGAGTTTCCAATAAAAATAAATAAATCTTTAAAAAAAATTTAAGGTATCTTCACAGTACTTAAAGCATTTAAAATATGTTCACATAATTGAGTTTTGTGTATATATACATATATACACATATTTCATACAAATTATAAATCATAGTTTAGTGAAATATTTGTAGTGGTTTTATAGGAAAAGTAAGTACTATTTGATCGTTAAAATTTGCATACATCTACTATAAAGTCAATGTCCATATATGGAATCTGGAAATTAATTCCTACACTGTAGCACTCAGCATTACAAGATATAAGCATCTTTACAAATGAAATAATACCCGTGTGCATGTGATGGCCACATCGGGGTTGATTTATTTCGGCCTATGTAGCTTTAGGAGTAGCAAGAGCACAGTAATAATTCATGAGCTCCTGGCTACTGGGTTTTCACAATCAGTCTTACCATTAGGTCTGTATACTCATCTAATTTCATGTCATCAACAGTCTTGTTTGCTTTCTCCAGCAGGTCCTTTAGAAAGTTCTGTTGAAATCAAGAACACTCAGATAAGTGTTATTGATAACATACAGTCTGCTCCCACTTCAGCCTGACGTGAAACAGGGCATTCCAGAAATACGAGAAAGAGTTGCTGTGAGGGTAGAGTCGGGTGAGGAGAGGGCTCTAGGCACAAGACTAAATTTGGCTTTCTTTAGGATGGCAATGAGCCTGCCAGTGATAGGTACAGTATTTGCAATACCCAACATTTGACCCTTCATATACTGGCTATGCTACATTTTTCTGGTGTCAATGAAAGAACTTTCCAGACTGTATAGCATATAAAAATCTGAATACAAACACTGAAATCTCTCCAGCTCAATGAATGCCCCTCTACTTCATATCTTCACAAGCCCTTTTGTGTGACCAGTCTGAGGGACACATAGGGGGTCTTTATATCTCTGTCACATGTGTCATCAATGCATCATGGATCAACAAACCAAGTCATCAATAAACCAGAAAGACAGACAGCTCGAATTTCAAATGTACTTCCTGCTCTCACAGGGTGTATTTTTGTATTAGTTTATGGTTACTATGAATCTCATTTCTCTAAGGGGCTAGTCAATTGGCTCTTAAACAACATAGTCCAAGCCACCTTGATTCAAATATTCAGCTGACCTCTCACACTAAACTGAGTGGCCACAGATGGAGTTATCTAATCCTTGATATATTAATCACATTAAGATAGAGATTCATGTGGGAATTAAAAAAAAATGATTTTAAACTTAACAATGGGCGCCAAGGTCTGGATTTCATTTTTTTTTTTAAAGAGACATAAATCAAACAAAAGCTTCCCCGCAGTTTGGCTTATAAATGACAGCAGAAGTACCTAAGCATGGAATTGTCGTTCATTTTGTCTAGTACTCTTCCTTCCCAACTCCTCTGTTTCTTACTGAAGGATTAGGATTCTTTGGCTTGGCAGTGGTTCATCTTCTGAAATGTGCCTGTTCTGCTGGCATGATTTGGCTTCTCTTTTCAAAGGAGGAGACTTTCTCTTGGTTTGATGAATGTATTTTCACTTGAAACATTCCACTTCAAATCCAAAGTGAAGCATGGAAATTTCAAAGTTATCTGTTGGGGGTGAATTTTATTTTTGAGCCTTCTGAGACTTTTGTCAGAGATTAATTGGGTTAAAAAGCCTCATCAGAGACTAAAATGGTGGTCACAAAAATAGCCTTTGAGAAACCTGGGGACGCTGAGACTCAAAGTCGTGTCTGAGAGCAAGCGGTGCTTTACTCTATTATGGATCTTAAAATTAGCTTTCTTGAAAGATCCATTAAAAAAGAATGCCAACTTATCTTCAGAATTCTCTAGGGAGGAGAACTTTTATTTAGAATTTCTCTCTGAGAACAAAATTTGGAACAAAGGAGGAGACTTAGCGTATTTTGAGGTCAGTGTTGGAAATGAGCTAAGGTTTTCATTATGAACTTGAAAGGATTTTAAAAAGATTTTTTTTGATGTGTCTAATAAAACATTGTCACCTTGTGGACTCTGGTTCCTGAGCTGTAGGTTATGAAAGTCATTGTTTTCAGTGGCTTTACATTAAAATGTTATGGGGCAGGCTTGGCCTACTGTTTAAGGTGCTGGCTGGGATACCCACAAGGTCAGTAAACTGGGCTGGTGTACTGGCAGTATTCTTGACTTCAGATTCCCACTAAGGTGGCCCTTGGGAGGCAGCAGGTGAAGGCTCAAGTACGTAGGTCCTTGCCACACTTGTGAGAGACCCATATGCAAGTTTTGACTCATGACTTCAGTCTGGCACAGCTGTGGCTATTGTCAGTACGTGGGATCTGAACCAGTAGAAGAGAGATCTCTATTTGTTTAGCCACATTTTAAATGAGTAAGATAAATGAATGAAAAATCAAACTTGCAAAAAAATGTTTACAGACATTGTATCACAAGGCTGCAGTTGAATTCGAACTGTCTAGAGATACTAAAAGCATGTTGAACTAGGATTAGGAAACTGTTTAATATTCATGCTTCCCCATACAGTTAAGAAGAGGTAATTTTCAATAACAGTTTGGAAAGTAGGCAACATTATAAGAAAAAAGCATTATTTGGTATTATCAGATAGATGAGGTCTAAATATACGTTCTAATTCATCTGAACTTTAATTTCCCTTTTTCTAGATTCAGAATGATAATACCTTGCCTTACCAGGATTCTGTGACGCTTAAATGTGAATGCACATCTTAAGCACCAATGATTGGCCCTGCCACACAGCAGGTGTATCATTAGCTGCTCAACAAAACCCGACTGGCCTCCCTGCTTATCACTTCATGTTCTGAAGTTACAGAAAACTAAATGCTTGATTTGAGATGCTGGAATAAATTAGAGGAAAGTAGGTGATAGGTACTTCCATATTTCTGAAAGGTTAGCAAATTAGCTTCATGAATAATATAAGTTACTATGTCTTCAACTTCACAAAATCTTCCACGAATGACACATTTCTTGAATCTCACAGTAAATCTGAGAGGAAGTTATTATCACCCCGTTTTAAAGATGGAACACACCAGAACACTGTGGAGATATGCCACTGGGTTAAGACCTGATCTCAGATCTCTGTATTTCCATTTTCCTCCTGCAACAATCATTCCTCTTTACCTCTTACAGGAATTGATACAGTCACCGCCAGTGTGTCAAGTGTTAGTAAATCAGGGTTTGGTTGGGATTTCTGTCAGTGTCTGGGTCGTGTGGCTTTCAGCAGATGACTACAGGATCGCTCACCCATTTTCATCCTCAGGGTAATACTAATTTGATTGAATTCATGCAAATATTATATAGGATTATAAGCAAAGTAGCTGGCACATAGTAAGCAGAAATTTTTTTCCTTGTCTTTTTTTGAAAAGGGAAGCTATTCATACAAGTGTTTATTTTTCAAAATAAAATTTCAGTGAAAGGAATAGCTTATTAAACTTGCACATAGTTTTATCAATGTCCACATCTGCCTTACATTGTACTTACTGCAAATCAATAAAATGCTAATATTTTGCATCACTGAACAGAATTTCCACAAGCACATAAAATCTCTGTTGATTTGTACTTCGTTAAGGATGTGGAAGAGTGGGTGACAATGCGTCCCACATTAGTTTCTTCAGTGGGAGGTTTTCTTTCAACCATGAAGTGCTTAGCAGTTCATCATTGTATTTGAAAGGAGAAAAAAAAAAAAAGCACAGGTTTTTGTCTGCTTACCTTCAGCTCCTCAGTTTCTATGAAGCCACTGTGATCAGTATCGTATTTTCTCCATGTCTGTAAATAATTTTGGATAAGGAAAAGCAAACATGTTGAAAAAAAAAAACCCTTCAATTCGCTTATTTTAAGATTTCTGAAAGTGACAACTTTCTGATACCTTCATGAATTCCTCACAGGACTTCAGCTGCTGGCACCGGAATAGCAGCAGGAAATTCTCTTCCGTGGGTAACACATGGGCCAACTGAAAGAGAGTAAGAGAAGGGCGGTTGCAAGGAGCTTGAAAACAAGTCCCCGCTATCATCTGGTGTTTAATTTTGTTTCCGCATTTTCCCTAGGAGCTAGTAGGAGATGGACATCAGAGTCAACGCTGCCTGGCTGGTACTTGGTTCTCACAAAGTGCAATCCTGTTTTCCAATGACCGTGTGCTCCGCAGGGCTTGGCTCTGGGGTTAATGTGGTGGCTGCTGCAGGCATACACTCAGAGACCACTAGCATCCTTTCTGCCCTGCTGAGCACACAGATTGTCCTGGTTCACATGCTCTGTGCCACAGGTTTCAGGGTATATGGAATGTGGAGCCTGTCATTTCGTTTGTTCTTTTTTTTTTTTTTCAAAGATTTATTTATTTTTGGACAGAGTTAGAGGGAGGAGAGACAGAAAGATCTTCCAGCCGCTGGTTCATTCCCCCAGGTGGTCACAAGGATCAGAGTTGAACTGATCTGAAACAGGAGCCAGCAGCTTCTTCCCGGTCTCCCATGCAGGGTTCCAAGGCTCTGGGCCATCCTCTACTGCTCTCCCAGGCCATAAGCAGGGAGCTGTATGGGAAGTAGAGTAGCTGGGACATGAACTGGCACCTATATAGGATCCTGGTGTGTGCCAGGCAAGGACTTTAGCCACTAGACTACTGTGCTGGGCCCAGAGCCAGAATTTCTTATAAAATGAAAGAAATTGAGAAACATGAACATAGAGCAAGAGAAAGAAAGGGAAAAAAATGCATTTCCAAATCTGAGGAGAAAGCCTATTATGAGACATATAGGAAAATAAAATGAAGATGACTGTGAAGCAATGAAAAGAGGTAGAAAAAGCTATTCACAATGACCAGTGGGAAGTTGAGCATTAATAGAGAAGTTAGTTCTCAAAGTGTTGGTTTCTGATAACAGGACAGCCACTGCTGGGACCCAGGCCTGGGAAAGTTTTTAACTTCATGGCATGACTCTGTAATATTTCTCTTTAGATCTCATCTCGTAACTTCAATACTGGGATTTTTTTTTTGAAGGAACAAAAGTGTTCCAGATCCCATTTTCAGAATAATATAATCTATCTATTGTGTGCAGAGAAGGAGGGAGCTGGATTGATGGTCTCACTGCAGACATGGATTCTATTTCTGTCTTGGAAGCTACTCACTCACCCATTTCTAGACCTCAGTAGCCTCTTCACTACAATAAAGAGGCAAAACAGAAACCAGTGCTTCTTAACCGTACTGGATCCAAAAAAAAAAAAAAAAACCTTCATTTCAATGACTGCATCTTCACTATCAAAGAATGGTCAGACCCACATTCCATTTCATCCGATTTCTGGAAGCTGATGAATTCCCTGAAGCATAAATTTAGACCGTACTCCTTCGATTTTATGCTAAAAAACTATAATCTAGATAAAACTTCAAGTCTGAGTTTTAAAAGATCTACAATGTTCTATGAAAAATCAACATAGCATTAAAAAATTATTTTAAGTCCATTAAAAATCTGTAATATGAAACACCACCTTACCTTAAACAGAAGCAAAATCATCTTTTGTAAACCTGTCCAATATGCTTTAACTTATTTTTATATGCTTGAAATAATACCTTAAATTCAAACCATTCAGTTGAGAAACACCACATACATAAGTGACTGTAAAAAGCACAAATATTTGTTTGGTATGATCCAGTCAAAACATTTAAAAAATTTTTAAAAAGGTCAATAGTGTGGTCATATGATAATAGACTTGAAAGACAAAAGGAGGAGTATAGTGTTTGCCAGTAATTTTTAAAATGTCACTGGAGCTTGGTCCATAAACATTTACTTCACTTTTCTCTCTCTCTCTTTCCCTTTCTCATTCTCTCTGTGCACATATGGGCATGTTTTCTGGGCCTCTTGTTAAAATCATGACACACTTCAGTGGCCTTTGATTTTTCTTGAGTCATAAAATTCGATCCACTCAAAATACTGTGGTTCGAATTAATTTTGAGTTGAAATGATTCCGTTGAGAACGCCAAGGGATCAGAGACTGAATGACTTGACTTCGTGATTGGCAAAAATTGAAAATCACTATGATTTGATGCTTATTAGAAAATTAACAACATATTTACTGAAGATAGTAATATAATTAGCTAATTTCTTCCTTCATCCTAGCCTGCAAATATGCATTTGTTGGGGATTTATGTAGCTGCCGATAAGATAACCTGGAAGCTATGTTTCTAATCACTGAGAAGCAGATGACCATATTCGTATGAAGTCCCTTTTCCTCCTCTGCAAGTGAGATGATTGTGCAAAGCAGCTAAACAGGTTTTGATCACTCAGGGAGCCAGATCCCAGGTAGTTTGGCCTGGAGAGTAGGTCTGCACTCCCTGCTGAAGAGAAGAGGAAAGCTGTAAGAAAGGGCAGCAATGGCCTGATACTCTGCCCTCAGCCTTTTCTAGAGCCCCAACTTGCCTTTAATAATACTTTCTGGAAGAAGTACTGGAGAGTGTTTATTCAAAAATTCTGAAAGAAGTAGAGGTGAAAGGAAGAATGATACAGGAAGGGAAAAAAAACAGAAAGGGAATTAAATAAAAAGAAAATATGAACCTCCAAAGGGAGAAAACATTTCAGAGGCAGAAACTTCCAAGCACAGATTGATGGATCTGCCCAGCAAGGAAGTGTGTTAGAAAATGCTGAGTTACTGAACACTGGCCATGTGATAGCATCATTATACATTAATATAAGGTATTCAACAGAAAACAGACAAAGCTAACATCAACTCTTCCTTCATTTGTGGATACATACCTTTGACAGGTTCAACTTCTTAAGTTTGGTTGAAACTTCTCTACTATGGATTTCAAGGAGACACCAAACATTTCTTATTTACTGATTGTGAATGTCTAGTGTGGTGACCAGCTCATAAAATTCACATGCACAAAAGAAATGCTTATGGATTGGTGAATAGCTTTACTTCAATAGAAAAACTGTCTTGCTAAGACATATAGTGAATATATTTTATTAGCATAATTTTCTGCATTTCTTGGATTTTTATGATTAGTGAATATATTGCTTTGAATGAAAAAGGAATACTTTTTCTTAAACATTATATTTGGCATAAATTTATGTTTCTTTGTCTATGCTTTATTGATTTTACTTTACCAAAATATCTATCTATACACAATGTATTTATTCTGTTTTGATCTCATTGAACTCAGTGCAATCTAATTGATAAATGATAGAAATGCCTTAAATGTGTAAAATAATAAATTGTAATACAAATTAGCCACTAAGACTAATGAATTTTCCTGGATAGGATATGGTAATGACGAACATAATATCTTTTTCCTTTTTTTTTTATTATTTTCTTGATTTTTGATGATGATTACGTGGTTGAAGAACTTTTTTTCAAGATGCATTGCATAATTGGTGGTCCTGTATAGTCTATTGTTCTACCTATTTTACATACTAATCAGTATGGAAATTTCAGAGAGCGGCTCACAGATTCGCCAGCTATAGTATCTGACATGTTTACAACATGTCAAAGGTCTTTCATGGAGGATATTAAGTAGGCCTGCTTTATTCTCAAATTTGGTAACTCCTTGATGTTCAAAGAAACGCTCAATATTGCCTGTGTTAGGACTGTGGGTATTTTCTGGTTCTCTCTTTCATGAGCTCCCCAAGGCTTTTATGGGTTGCAGAAGGAAGTGAAGAATATTAAGGGCATGATTGGAAGGCAGATAGCTGAGACTGCAGACAAACCCTTCAGAGATTCCCATTTCGATGATGTTGTCCGCCACCGAAAGTAGGAAAGCAAAAACTATTTCTACCTGTTTATCTCCATTACCAATCTATCTACCCAAAGGATAAAATCCTATATTTTATTGTCTATTTCTTTGCCCAGCAAATACACAAATTTCAGTGAGTATTTCACTGAATTAAGCAAGGAAAGCATTTGATTGCATTTAGAGTCAACATTAGGCTGTAAATTCTTTGGAGAAAATTTGAAAACGTATGACTTTCATGTATGGCGTATGTTGCTATGTGCCAAGCACCTTTGAGGAATTGCTTGGCCTGATGGTGGCTGCATTTCCACTTGAATTCTGAGACTGATCCACAGGGGGATAAAAAGACCAACATCTCACTCATTAATGGGTGTTTCTCTGAAGGGTCACCCCCTGAGAGCACACTGCAGGGTCACGGTGAGATCTCCATTGAGAATGTTGCACATCCCAGCACCTCCCTTTGCCCAGTCCTGTGGCCCTAACTTCGCTTCTACAGGTAGCAAGCCCATGAGTTCTTCCTAGCTTGAGTCAACCTCCTCTTGCTACTCTTTTACTTAGCTGCTTCCCAGGGAATTCAACCCACAATAGGGGTCTTTAAATATTTCTTCTATTTCTAGCAGATACGAATCCCTTACCCTTTGGTTTAGAGTAGGTTAAAAATGTTTGCTTTTGCTCATACGGCTACTAAATACTTGAAACTGTGACAGCTACTGAGGATTCAGTCACCACTAGTAAGAAGCTTACAAGAAAGCAGATAATAGTTTAAAATGGTTATTTTTCCTAACATTTTCAAAGCCAGAGATAAATACAATGACAAAACCTGGCTATTGAATGTGAGAGGGTACACGTGAAAGACAACCTCATTAGAGGTGGTTACTTGAAAGTGCATGAGGCATGTCTCTTATCAACATTTCATAAATTGCATAATGATCTACAAATGTATTTTTCTTAATACTGTTACTGTAAAATTTCTCCAGATTTTCCCTTCAGCTTTTGTTTCCTTATCTTCTTCTTTCACCTGTACTTTTAATTTTTCTCCTCTTTCCTAACACAGAATTTCTTTTCTGTAGCAGTTTTTTATCTTAAACTTGAGGGAATTTTTTTGTTTGTTTGTTTCAAAGCTCTGAGACAATGCAGCTTCTTTGTGACACTCTAATCTCTCATTAAAATTAGACTTAAAGGGTTAAAATTGAATAAAGTATACCTACTAAACTTTAAAATGTGCATGCATTTTGTTCTTTTAAAAACAATCGTATTTCTTGTCAGCCGATACATACTTTTAACTGCACAGACCGTTCTGAAGAAATGAAATAGGATAAGCTGCTAAGCCCATTGGTGCCTTTCAAGGTGAAATATATTAAACGTAAGATGACAGTCTTTTTCTACTAGAATTACAAACTGCGTCAAACCCAAAGAGCCAATCTATAATTTCACTGATGTCAGATTTCCAAAGCAGTTTTGAAAAATTAGGTTTACTTTATTTCATTTATGTTCATTTTAAAGCTTTTTAAAAATTATTGAAGATTTCATATCCTGATTAGCTGTCCTCTAACTAAATCTCATTCCTATTAATTTATCTATTCATATAGTAATGACGTTCACATGGGCAAAGTGGAAGTGAATACTCCTGGGAAAAATTTTAATTACAAAGATAATAATAGTATGGCCTCTCAATCCTATTTGTAGGAGGTGTTTAAAAATAAGTGTATTTAACACCGGTGTAACAAGTGTCCTAGTAAGATCAATTACTTGAAAACCAGGTTAGTCCTGTGGATCATAGATAAATTATGAGTAAATGTGGAGAACAGAATACTTCATGATCTGATGCACTGAGAATGCTATATGAGGACAATATTTTAAAATATGGTCTTATTAGATTATCCAGAAAAAACCCTCCACACAATTTCTTTAGCAAGTTGCAGAGATAAAGAATTCAAGATACCAACACATTTTGGAAAAGTAGAGATAAGGGAAGCAACAGTTCTTCCACAAATTTGAAATGCTTTCTTAATTCACAGACAAAAATCCATTGTTTTCCATTGAAAAAGTCATTGTCAAATATTTGACACCTGCAGTTTTTACTTTTGGAGACTCAAAAGAAAAATGTACCTATGGACAGATTATAAAATATTCATCCACTGTAGTTAAGTTCTAAGGCTACCTGTCAAATTAAAATAGAATTCGGAAACCAGGATGTAGGGCTTTTTTATTTGTTTGTTTTTACCATGCCATTGTCATAGGAACTACAAACATTTCATATTACGTTTAAACAGAAAGGTCTATATTACTAAAATACAAGATACAGGAATGAACCAAATACTTGATGCCTGCTGATGTAAAGTGACGGGTGTTCATCCTGAAGTTGGGGATTGGTGTATCTAACTGCTCCTGTGTCAGCAAACAGCTGCATGGCCACAGGCAAACCATGTCATTTCTCCATTTCACTTTCATAATGTGTTGAATTTAAACTCTCTTTAAGGTAAGCTCATAGCTCTCTCTTTACCTCAAAACGTTGTTTCTTAATATATAAATAGAGAGAAGTAGTATTTAGGCAAAATACGTATTTCTGATACAACTTTAGAAGTAAGCTCATTTATTAAATCAGAGACATATGTAGGTGCCTTACCTCTACAATTCCTATTTTTCCATCATCTCTCTGCCCATACTGATCCACGAAAGTTTTCATTTCAGGTGATAATTCCTAAAATTACATAAAAACAGGAAAGAACTTTGTAAAAACATTCAATTATGCCTGTGGTGCTGTTAACATAAATTATTTTACAGGACAACAGAAGAGGGAACCTTAGGAATTTTGCGTGCTGATGAACTAGTCTCATGAAAATAAAACACCTAAGTGGTACCTGATGTCTATTAGTTTCAAATAAACGTAATGATCATAATTTTTAATTAAACACTATGATTCATCTTCTATTATTAGTTTTGAAATTCTTTGACAACGTATTCATAATTATTCAATTAATAACCTTTAGTGAATTTAAATATAATAATAACCGCTAATAGAGTTAAGCAAAGCTTGCTTCAGTGAGGTTAATTTTATATTATTGCACTATTTTTTTTATTTTCTTTTTCATACAGGATAGTATTATGTGATTTTGCTCTGGACAAAGAAAAAATGTGAATACCATAAGGTAATTGTTTTTGTAAGCAAGGAATGGTTTTCAGTAATAAAGAGGCATTGATTGATTAAAGCAAGTTAAAAAGTTAACTATGGGAAAACCAACTCTCAAGTAAAACAGTGACTTGACAAATCTGAGCTGTCACCAGAGACAATATTGATGGTCTTATTTTAAGCCACTGCTTAGATGCTGAAGATCTGCATCCCTGAGGGTAACTCTGGGAGCAGTGCTCCAGCTTGACTTTGTTTCCATTTTCTCCAAGAGGATGTTCTCTCCTCCAGGTATTGTAACACAATAAAATGCTATGAGTGACAAAGTAAATTTTTCTTTTTTGTATTTGACTTAAAAAAAATCTGTTGTATCAATTATGTAATCTGTTCACAAACTGACAGATAAGAAAGTTATGAGCTATAAAGTAGTGATCTGAACACAGAGCTAGTATTCAGGAAGCTCTGTGTTTACCCTTGGGTCTCCAACATAGCCCATTTAAAATAGCCCTGTTGCATGAACTGAGCCTATTTAAAATAGGTCAGCCCTTGTGAATGTCCTTTTCTCTATCCTTGGGAAAGCAAATTGAGGTTTCAGTTTTCATCATAACTAACACTACGGTGGTTACCAACAACATGTTAGCTTTGGGGAGATAGAGATGAACATAATTTAAGGGCTATATTGTGACTAAACATGACTGGTAGGTTGGTTGATGTAATTTGTGGGCTATGTTGAGGCTAAATGTCGTTACCACGAGTGTTTAGAAAATCTCTTCAAAATCAATGCAAACATTCTTAGTAGAATTAATGCATTGTCTAGTAATTGAATAACTTAAACGTAAAAAAGCTCTATGTGGATAAATTGAATTTTTTATGCTCTCATCTTGTTACAGGAATATCTGTAAGAGAAGTTTCTCTTTCATGGCAATAGTGGAAATGATAGTCTTCATATTTTAGAACACATCTTAAAGTCAGCAAAAAAGCAAAGAAAAAATCGTTCTTAAATATCAAAACTATGTAATACTACTTCTTTATTAGCAGCCTTTACATTTAGCTTATGAAATTTCTGGATTGCAATTATGCCCAATTCAATTTTTTATAATAGTGCAAAGCATGTCACCATCACCAACATTATCAACTAGTTATCTAAATTAAGTGAAGGAAAATTTAAAGACTAAATACTGAGAATAATGTAAAAGGGTAATTTTGAACACTTATTGGGCTATTTATTTCATTGATGTTATATTCTCTGTGAAATTTCAAAATTTAATATGACAGCCAAACAGTTTTTCCATTGTGCATTGAAATCTGTTATCCTATGGTTAGAAATGCAAAGAATTGGGTCAGGCTTTGTGTGCAGGGAAATATAAAAAAACATGTAAAAGTAAGCTTATTATAATGGGTTCAATGGTATAGTGAAACAGGCCAAGATACGAGCCTCTCAATCCAGGTCTTGACTTGGATTTTAAGTATTCAAAGTCCACATAACTAATCCAGAAAGGTATTCATAAACTGAAGTTTCAGGAAACTTGACATAGTCCTATATTTGTGCTCAAATTTAGTATTATTAGGTTATAGTCTAATAATTAAAGCTGTCCATAGAGCTAGGCAGTTTTGGAAAAGCTCTAAACTCCTTAAACTCTAACATGAACATAATATTTCCAAAAAAGGTCTGAATATTAAAGTAAGAGAAAGAAAAAATCAGAAAAGATGAGTGGAATTCATGAGACATTCTAAAATAAAAGTAAATCTCAATATTAAAATTATTTCTGGAAAAAGTAAAGTATGATTTAGCTGCTGGAAGCTCCTTCCATGCTTAACTCTGAATTTACTGCAAACTAAGACTTTTCCAGCCACATATTTTTCAATGAAGAGAATGAGTTTTGTCTAATTAGTCAAAGAAATATAGAGGTATAATGGTAGTGTTAGATACATTTGTATACATGGAGGAGGAAGGAGGGTGGAGAATACATAAGATGGTCTTATTAGATCTCAATCTATTAAACTCTTAGTTCAATATTATATTAAATCAGACTAAAACAATTCCTTGAGCACAATCTGATTTAAAATCAATTTGGCTTATAATTCTATCAACTAATAGTTGTATAATACATTAGGATACATTTAGAGCCCTCTGGAATTCTTTTTACTATGTCATACAGCAACAATTCTCAATTTAGATAGAACAAAAAGGTAACACTATCAATACAGTATATATTTATGCATGTTAATATTAGAGGTGATGATTTGGTACATAATATGTACAGAAAATATATACACAAATTATAATGAAAAATTCTTATTCTTACTCTAATTAAAATGGCTAAAGACTATAAACATTTAAATTAGGTCAAATCCAACACAGCCTTCTGAAAGGCAATCTTATAGGAAATTCTAATGGCTAAATAAAATCCTTGGCCTATTTTCTTCTACTTACCTATCCCATCTATGTTTGAAAACTAATAAATCTTATTTTTATGCTGAAAACATTTTTCTAAACTGGCTAGTTTATGCCACCCCCTCCTGAAGCCATTTATAATTACTAAGGATTTTCATTTGTTTAATTAATTAATAGCATAAGGTTTTAAAACAGTTTATTTTCAGAACATTTTTTCCCATCAGAGCATCTTCTTTTTTGCTGTCATATTACATAAAAACTTTTTTTTTCTACTGCTCTGAATTTTGGGTTTCTCCCGTTCTTATAGAAATGAAGACTTTGTCATGATTAAATATGAAAAATGCTTAACTGAGGAGGGGTCAAGGCCAGATGCTTTCTCACCTCGCCAACAAAATCAACAACACAACCATCGTAATTGGCAATAGAACAGGACTCATAATCTGCAGATCTGTTTCCTGGCCACCGAGGGGCAGAAATGCATCTCTACCCCTTCTCACTCGGTCAAAGAGAAGTTAAAAATTACCTAACTAACTCATGGTTGAGATGGTTACAGGGAAGGATTTCGCGCACCCACACTTGGGCTTTAAGCAGCTATAAAAGCTGTACAATCAATGCTAGAGTATCCGTTTTTAAAACTCTGAACGTTTTTCCCTTTAGGAAATCTATCCCCCACCCGCTCCCTGCTTCCTCGCTCTCTCCTCTGCTCTTCTCTACGCAATTCGTAGTGGTGCTCTCAACCTCTTTTTAAGTCAATAAACGTTTACATTTCCTGGAAAGCGTTAGACCCTCGCTGGCCCCCTATGAAAACACAGGGGGGTTATGTTTTAGGGTCCAAGGTCTTCCTTCCTTCACAAACTTGAACGTACCAATCCAGCCTTCTTTCGCGCCTGCTGGAGCTCCTGGATCAGGTTCTGAAGCTCCTTTCCTTCCAGGTAACCACTTCCTGCAAAGACAAAGAGGTACGCAGGTGTCGGGTATCTCAGCTGACTTTCTTTCCCATTCACTTTCCACGACAGCTGTTTTTCTGGCCACCTGAGAGCCTTGACATTGATTACCCAGCTGGTGTCAAACTTCAGCTCCATTGAAGACATAGGATGATGGTTGGGGTACTGAGCGCAGCCATAGAAACTTTGGGGGAGGGAGGGCTTTCTTAGTCCCTGCTTTCTATCTCCTATCATTTACCATTCCTGGAAAGGCAAAGTTTAAATCTGGGGAGTATAGAGACGGCTGTGTAAACTTTCCCGAGGCAATTGACGAGGGGGAAGGCGAAGAGGGAGCACAGAATTAAAGAATAGAAATGAGGAAGAGGGGAAGGGAAAAAGAGTGGGAAGACGAACGGACAAGGATCTGGAAATAGTTATTAAAAAAAAAATCACCATCGGCGTCGAAATGAAGCCAGATCTCGAAAAACTGCGAGGCTGTAATCAGGGGTGACTGCAGGTGGGATTCTGCCATGGTCCGGCGGGCGTGCGTCTGCGGGTGCGGATGGGTGTGAGCGCGTCCGGGAGCGGGTGCGCGGGTGGAGCTGCAGAGCCCTGGGCGCTGGCGCTGTCCGGCGCTGTCCCCGGTGCTGCTCGGCCGCGCGTTCCCCCGGAGTTCTCCGCACCCCGCACCCAGTTCTCAGTATTTATCCCGACGGCCTCAAGCCGGGCCACGCCTCCTCCTGCCTCCCGTGCCTCACTCCCCGCCTCTCGCTCTCCCCAGCCGTTTTCCCCTCCCTGTTCCTCTCCTCTCCGGAAAGCTAGCGGGAACAGGAGTGTTAGGAGCAGCAGGTGGTGAGAGATCGTTTTCTCAGGGATTGGTCGCTGCAAACAGGGCTCTTTCCCTTCACATTCTTCTGGTCCAGGACCAGAATATTATACCTGGAGAGGGTTGGACTCCCAAACAGAAGGGGAAAACTGATAAAGGAAGAGCCACATAAATGCTTGCCTGTAATCTCTAAGACTTTTAATTTTGGATCAAAATCAGGGGAAATCTTGACATGTATAAATTAACCAATCATAGATATAATGAATTGGTTCGTCAAAATAATACATCTCTTTTGTGCTATTGAATACTATTATACAAATATGTTGTGAAGCGATTTGTAGACATTAGCTTTGCCAGCAAAATAAAGCAGGTTCGTGGTTGTTTCGTTCCGGCTTGAGGTAGAATAATAACTGGGAATTACAGAATCAATTTATAAAAGTCTAAAATGCTAGAAAAGGATCTTCATTCAGAGATACTACAGTTTATTGCTTTTGAATTTAGGAGCAAAGCCAAGAGAAAGCAGAAATCTGGCCCCAGTGCATTTCAAGGTGAGACAGCGACCTAATTACAGCCCCTTTCAAGGACCTTCACGTCTCTCTGCTGTTCTTCGCCAAGAAATCCCTGGTCGAGAGTTTTTCCGAGAGAAAACCATCACCACTGTAGGCAACAGCTGCACCACTCCCTGTTTTTATCGTATATTTTAAAGTGCTAAACTATCAGATTGCTCGCTCTCTACCCACCAACTTCTGAAGTATTTATCTTTGAATCTTTTCAGAGTTTGAGAACGACTGGAATCGTAGGCCGGGGCCTGGTCACAGGGTTGCAAAACAAAAGGAAAAACGAGAACCTCATGTTGTGATAAACTTCAAAGTGAATTAAAATGGGTTTCCCTTGATTTCTATTTTCAGTCTTGTGCAATGAAGTGTGAGAATCAACAAACGTGTGTTTCTAATATCGTGTCTTTATCCAGGAGCAGATTTCTGAGACTTTTTGTGAGTATCTTTTTTGGAACCTGAACATTTCAGGGCTGGCCAGGAATTATGCTAAATGTATTCTGACAAACTTCTAAGTGGACTCCTCACTTCCAGAGTAATTCAGTTTATAAGTTACTTTCATTTAGGTTACATTATGCATTAAAAAAAAAAAGATTTACTTATTTTACTTGCAGAGTTACATAGAGAAGAGACACAGAGTTCTCCCACCAGCTGGTTCACTTCCCAACGGGCCTCAATAGCCAGAACTGCGCCTATGCGAAGCCGGGAGCCAGGAGCTTCTTTTGTCTCCCACATGGATGTAGCTGCCCAAGGCCTTGGGCTGTCCTCCTCTGCTCTCCCAGGCCAATAGCACGGAGCTAAACTGAAAGTGGAGCAGCTGCCGCTGGACCCAGCACCCATATGGGATGCTGGCACTGCAAGTGGAGGATTACTGTGCACTGCCACCACACCAGCCCCTACCACATCCAATTTTGAAATTTACTATATGATGTGAGTATGCAGAGGTATACTATTTACGTGTTTTCACACAAAAGCTTAAATAGATTTTTTTTTAAAAAAAGATTTATTTATTTTTATTGGAAAGTCAGATTTCCAGACAGAAGGAGAGACAGAGAGAAAAGATCTTCCACCCGATGGTTCACTCCCCAAATAGTTGCATGGCCAGAGCTGAACCGATCTGAAGCCAGGAGCCTCCTCCAGGTCTCCCACGCAGGTGCAGGGTGCCAAGGCTTTGGGCCATCATATACTGCCTTCCCAGGCCACAGGCAGGGAGCTGGAAGGGAAGTGGAGCAGCCAGGGCATGAACCAGTGCGCACACAGAATCCTGGTGCATTCAAGATGAGGACTTTAGCCACTAGGCTACTGCACAGGGCCCTAAAATGGAATTTGAGAACTAGAATTTCAGAGCTTGCTAGCCCCAATCTCAAACTGAACCAGACTTCATTAAGTGCCAAGTTACTTATACTTTAACTCATCCAATGAACTGCGATAGACACTGTAAACAACGAAGTGAAAGACATAGTACCTGCCTTCTGAAAGCTTAGGTTTAGGGGGACAGAGCCACCTGAACACCCACAATACTACATATTCATATAATGGAAGCAGGCACAAGCTACTTTGTATGCAGGAGTCTCCTAACTTTTTGCATACGTGGGAGTTAAAATTTAAGTTATGTAAGTTACCTTGTCACTGAGAAAACTTTTTTCTACGGTAAGGCACCTCTGGGTATGAGGAGACGCAATCATGGCAAGAAAAGGCCAATAGCTTGGGCGAGTTCATTCTAATTCCTGAAAAACTAATTCAGAAAAATGATCCTGCTTATCACCATATTTACGGTAATGATCTTCGAATAAGAATATGATTTATGAACTTGGAGGGCAGTGCTAGGGGATAAACTTTGAATTAAAAAAGGCAGTAAATCACGGATGGTTTGAAGTATACTGACCCTTTCTGGTCCAGGCAGAGCTGGCAATGTTTAGACTTTGACAAGAGTTTCAAGACAAACAAAAATGTTTGAAAAAAAATGAAAGAACAGAATGAACAACGAATTTTTAAATTATTTTCCATGATTGCAATGAATTTCCCTCCTATACAACAGAAGCAGCCTACGCAGGCTGTAGTTCTACTGCTTTAGAAAAGAAGTTGATCTAAAATTCGAAGGTTTTGCAGATTGTTTTAGGAAGTAAAAAAATGTTACATGGGCAAGCAACCTTTCTTTTTATTTCCCTTTCTGAAGCCGATGTCAACTGTAAAATTTTCCTGTAGGAATGTTTAGGCATTGCAACCTCCACGGGACACTAGTGGGTGCCACAGGAAAGGGGGCTCTGATGAAGGCTTTGTCCTGCACACTGAAAATAAGAAAATTCTCTCTCTCTCTCTTTCTCTCTCTCTCTCTTTTTTTTTTTTTTTTTTAGGTTTGTGCAGAGTAGCTTCAAGGAGTCGAATGCAGATTATGAAGTTCCAAACTTTCATTTTTAATTTTAATTTTTAATTCCTGTTCATATGAACAGAACAGATTTCACATATTGATAAGTACAATTCTGAAAAGATAGCCATACTTCCCCTTTCTTTTTCCCTTTTAAGTTACCTCTTAATGCTTTCAGCATGCTGGTGTAATCACTTTTAAAGCCCAGTGTTTATACAGACACACAGACTTGTGTGGCCCGTTTTTTTTGCTATTTGATTCCATAGAATAGTAATTAGAATCTGTATGTCACACTTCGATTTATAAATATCATGCCATTTATCCAAAACTAACAAACTAATAGACATCATTTAGAGCTGAATATTGTACTTTATTAAATAACCATAATTATAGACAGTTTTCTAACTGCAACCATCACCTTTATGTGCTTATTTAAGATGTTTTCTTTGTTTGTTTTCTATCTTACCATCTTCCTGCCCTCCTTCCTACTTTTCCTCCTCCTTTACATATTAAAACATTTTTTTACAATGACAAACTTTCAATTTCCTTTATAATCACAAGCTTCCCGTAAACGCAGAATTCAACATCACTATTGTTTGGTTCAAAAAGTCTATATATATATTTACATTTTAATAAGATGTCTGTGTTATAGCTTGGGTGCAAGTGAATCAAGTCTGAACATGACTTATCCTTAGCAGTTTTGAATGCCATTGCCTTTATTGTAGTAATATAGGAAAAAACAGTGGGAGAAGGAGGATAAATGGGGAGGCTGGGAGGGGAGATCCCTGAGCCTATAGAACTTTATCATGAAAAATAAAAAAAAAAGAAATAAGATACTGTGCTGATGTAATGGGTAAAAATATTAAATTTCCCCCTTTAGTTTGCAATCACTATTAAGTCATAAAATGTATTATTTGTACTTCTATGATGAAATTTCTGTTAGTTTTTTTTAAAATAGCATAAACAGTATAATTTTTTTCTCTTGAAATGATTATTGATTTCACATTGTCACTTCAAGTCCATATCTTTTTTAGGTTTATATTTTGGCCCAATTCTACATCAAGCTCTTATGTTACTAGTAAAAAAGTGTATGTTCCAACGCTATAGATTTGAAGTTACTTAAGACATTCCTTTGCTTCCATCAAATCCTTTAATTTATTAACTAATGTTTAAGGGAAGTTACTTTTCGAGTATGCAGAAATCCTTTAAATTCTAGGGTTCTGGGAGAACTGCAAATGCTTTAGTAATGAGATTTTTCCATAAGATTAGTTTCTAAAAACAACATGGAAACGAAGCACTTTTATGACTTGTTTTATAGGCTCATTACCCAAGCTTAAGGTGAATGGGTTCATGATCCAATATTGCCATAAAAGTAGAAACAATTTGTGTGAATAAAAACAAAAGGCCTCCAGGATAATGAAACTGCATCTTCCAGTTCATGTTACTGAATTACTAGAACTGTAATTCATATTTGGGTTACTGCAGGATACTATATAAATTAGAAGACGGAGAACTTCTTATGTGAAAGGTTTATTTATTTATTTGGAAGGCAGAGTTATACACTCAGGGAGAGAGATAAAGAGAGCATGAGCACAAGGGCAAGAGAGAGAGAGAGAGAGAGAGAGAGAGAGAGAGAGAGAGAAAGAGAGAGAGCGCTTCCATCTGCTGGCTCCCTCCTCAATTGACCACAGTGAGCAGAGCTGGCCCAGGTCAATGTGAGGAGCCTGGAGCTTCTTAGGTGCAGGGGAACAAGCACATGGCCATACCATGCTGCCTTTCTCAGGCCA